TGTGCAGAGAGTAGCGGATTACTTCAATGTGAGAGTCTCGTTACGAGAAGATTCTGAATGCATCACCAAAAAGTAAAAGATGAAAAAGATGATTTTCTTCGTTTTAGTTTAGAAGAAGGGACAGAGATAATTTTGAGTTCTCAAGCAAGAAGATGTTGCTGTAGCCTGTAGAAGAGGTGTGTGACTAGTGTTTTTATATAAGCAAAGCAAAGGTTCGATATTTTCCAAAAAAAAAAAAAGGAAACTTTTAGGTGTTTCCTTTTCTTACGAGGTTAAGAAGTTATTTCCTTTTTTTTCAGGTTAATGTTTTCCTTTTTTTTTTTTTAATGTTTGCTGAAAAATAAATAGATACTTGTCACAACGGTAAAGCTTCAAACAAATGGCAAACCTACAGAACAGAAGAAGTAACGAACATAATATAAAAAGAAAAAGAAAACAAGCTCTTCCGTTTTAAAGGACACAAACTCCTTCAATGAGATTAGCTTGTAGCAGCCCTAAAGTATGGCAACCATCTCTGTTTATTTCCGTCGTACCATCTGGTAACCAAAGATTCTCTCATGATTCTTTATTTTCTGTTGTAATCTGTTATAACTTAAGCTGTCTTTTTTTAAGGGATGATGGGAGTGATGGGATCAGGTTGAAGAGCTTTCTTCACAAGATCAGTCTGCTCTTTAACATGAAGCTGGTAAAACCCTGTGGCTGTAGCAGCTGAAGGAAGTCGACCAACATATTTTATGTCGTTGAATTTTCCTCTTTCCAGCGCTTTCATCGCTGTGCAAAGCCTTGGTGCTATGTATTGGTATCCTCCCATGTTCATCGGCTCTTCTTGACACCACACAATCTCTGCATCTGTTGTTAAACACAGGAAAGAACAAGTTTTCAGAGAGAATTCCAACCTTCAACCTAAACAATCAAACACAATCCTGAGCTCCGAAAACCTACTTGGATATCTCTTTAGTTCTCTTTGAATGAGATCGTAAGGGAATGGGCACAGTTGCTCTACCCTGCAAATGGCTACATCCTTTGTTGCAGACTTCTTTCTCTCTTCGTCAAGCTCATAGTAGACCTGATTCATCAACATTTACAAGTATTAATCTCAGAATGTCAGAACTTTGTTATCAAATGAAGGAAAAACTGGGTTGTTTACTTTACCTTTCCAGAGCAGAGGACTAGACGTCTTATACCTTCTTCAAGATCAGAGTGATCACTTTGATCTTTGATCAACCGTTTAAATCGAGTTCCTTGCTTGTCAAAACCAGGATGTCCTTTAACATCATCAAATTCTGAGAGATTAGATACACACTGTTTGTGACGAAGCAAATTTTTGGGAGCCATCACTATAAGAGGCTTGCGGAAGTCCCTGTGTATCTGCAAATGGATGATATCAAGTGTGTATGTGTGTAAAGAATAAAAGAATAACATCTCAACCTTCTAGACACTTCATATTAGTTTTTTACCTGTCGACGCAGAACATGGAAATAGTTGGCAGGTGTAGTAACATTAACAACTTGCCAATTACATTCTTGAATCTGCTTACGAAGAGTTGGATCCATCTCAGGGATAACATAGGGATTGTCATCACTCATCTGCAGTTAAAAATTAACAAATGAACACGAAAAGTAGAGACAAACTTAATGGTGAGTATCGGTCATATAATATACCTGAAGGAAACGTTCCAATCTTCCACTGGAATGTTCAGGACCTTGACCATCATATCCATGAGGAAGTAGAACTACTAGACCGGTTTGACGGAGCCATTTGGCTTCCCCACTGCTAATGAACTGATCAAACATAACCTGTGCGCCATTAGCAAAGTCTCCAAACTGAGCCTCCCATATCACCAGAGAATTGGGGTTCTCCATCGAGTAACCCAGTTCAAATCCAAGAACACCAAATTCTGAAAGAGAGCTGTATACACAAGAAGCGTGAGAATAAAGCAAAAACAATTGAAAATTGGTTACGATATCTAGAGATACACAAAACATGCCTGTTGCTGACAGTGAACATTTCAGGGTCTTGGTTCATTGTCAGGTGATCTAAGGGACAATATTGTTCGCCAGTTTCTTGATCATGCAATACTGAGTGTCTATGACTGAATGTTCCTCTTTCAACATCTTGACCACTTAGCCGAACGTGGTTGCCTTCCACAACCAGAGTAGCAAAGGCAAGAGCTTCTCCAAGTCCCCAGTCAATGCCTTCCCCTGATTCAATCATTTGAGCACGCTGTTCATAAACTCTTTTCACCCCTCTGTGTGGCTTGAAGTTCTCTGGGAAGGTTGAGATTGCCTTTCCCACATTCTTCAAAATCTCTGGCTTCACTCTGCAAGAAACAAGGATTCAAATAGACAAAAAAAAAAAGCAATGAAAATCTAGATCAAATGAAAATGTTCATACCCAGTGTTTCGGACCCTAGAAATCTGCTCCGGTGACTTGAATCCAGTCCAATGACTTGCCAGCCAGTCACGTTTTTGGGGAATATAATCTTTACTTGCCCCGAATTCTTCATTTAGGATAGAGCTTACTTTCTTTTGAATCTTATCAATATCTTCTTGGGTTACCTGTCCAGATTCCAAAAGCTTTTCCTGGTAGATTTGAAGCGAGGAGGGATGACTGCGTATCACCTATCAACAACAAGTAACATCCTTTAAGAATAAAAAATTACAAGAGAAGAAATCCTGAAAAGAACTATAATAGAAACTGGAATTTGGATAAAATTATTTCAAAGAGATTGATAATAAAATAGGCAGACCTTGTACATTTTTGGTTGGGTGAATGATGGTTCATCTATCTCGTTATGCCCAAAGCGACGGTAGCATACTAAATCAACAACAACATCAGAATGGAATGTCTGGCGCCACTCCGCAGCAAGCTCACATGCATGCACTACTGCTTCAATATCATCTGCATTCACATGGAAAATTGGGGCACTTAAAGCCTTTGCAACATCAGTGCAATACTGTGAAGACCTTCCTGCCCTGGGATCAGTTGTGAAAGCCACTTGATTATTCACCACAATGTGTACTGTTCCACCAGTACAGTAGTTAGGAAGTGCACTAAGATGCAGAGTTTCATATACCACACCTTGTCCGGCAAAGCTACCATCCCCATGGATCAAAATACCCATGTTCTTTGTTCTGTTCTCGTCTTTCGTGTAATATTGTTTCGCTCTGGTTTTACCCATCACAACAGGATCTACTGCTTCCAAGTGACTGGGATTTGCTACCAAAGACAAGTGGAGATGTTTGCCTCCTCTAGTTGGGCGATCATAAGATGTACCCAAATGGTATTTCACATCACCTGTTCCAGTGTAGAGCCCAACTTCATCCACTGGCCTAGTACCCCCGCTAAACTCGCTGAATATCTGACGTAGAGGTTTTCTAACAACATTACCCAAAACATTAAGTCGACCCCTGTGAGGCATACCGATGACAATGCTCTCTACCCCGAGATCTGCAGCCCTATCGAACATCTCCTTCATGCCAGGAATCAAAGACTCAGCACCTTCGAGTCCAAATCGTTTAGCAGTGGTCCACTTAGACGCCAAGAAATTCTCAAACTGTGTGCTCCAGGTAAGCCTATCATAGATAACCATCCGACGGTCACTATGGTACTGTCGAGGTGTTGGGGTCTCGATCTTGTCTCTTAACCAGTTACATTTTTCTCTATCAGCAATGTGCATATACTCATACCCTATAGTCCCACAGTAAGCCTGCTCAAGCCTCGAGAGTATAGCCCTTAGTGTTTGAACCGGACGGTTCTCAGAGAGAAAACCTGACATCTTCCATACACCAAGAAAGAATTCCCGATCAAGATCAGCCTCAGTAAACCCATAAAGACCTGGCGTGAGATCCTCTGGAATCTCTCTCTCCTCCAGACCCAAAGGGTCAAGCTTGGCCTTCATGTGGCCATTAACCTGGTACGCTCTAACTAGCAACAACAGACGCATGCTTTCTTGAATGGTTTGCCCCGAGATACCAGGCGCCGTAGAAGCCTGACCCACGAAATTCCGGAAGAAGTTATCCCAGGACTCATCAACACTGTTGGGATCAGCTTCCCAAGCTCTTTGTAATTCCTCTAGATACACACTGCTCGTCCCGTCCAAGAAACTCTCAGTTAGTTTAGAAAGTGGGACAGGACGTGGAACAGGTGCAGCAGATTCTGCCTTTGATTTGAGTATTGTAGAGTGAAAACATCTGGTCTGAGAAGGCAAAACCCTTGTTCTAGTGGCATAAGAACCACACCGAGACTGAGACAGTGTCCTTCTTATGGCAAGCTTAGCCACAGAGGAACCAGTTCTAAACCAAACCATAGCTTTAACTAATCTATGTGAAACAACAAATCATACAGCCCCGAGACTCGAGAATTTTCAACTGTTTTTTGTTTTTTCTCTGAACCTGAAAATGATCAATTAAACAACACCAAAATAATAAGTAAACAAATTAATTTAATGGCTAAACGAGTAACGACTTAGTTATATCTCATGCAAGCACCAAAAAAATAGAAATCTATTATGATCATTACATATCAATTCCACAGTTTCTCAGCGATCTGATTTATTCAGATGATCGAAAAATGAAAACTCCCAAATTTATATGGCTCAACAACTTTCATTTCTTAGAATTTTTCTCAGGGAAAAAAAAACAAACATAATAAACAAAAAAATGAGGAAGATAAATAAGAAAAGCAGGAAGATTCACGAGGAAGGAGAAGAAGACGAACCTGGGATCAAAAAGATTGGGGAGACTCAGTGAAGTGGCTTCTACAAGACAGAGAAAGAAAGAAAAGTAAGTGCACCGCCTTGAAATAATCCATGTTTGGCTACGAGGACAAGTAGATACCTAATCCGAATAAGATATTAATAGACGAAGAAGACTCGGGGAGATTTATTAAATGGGCCCTTATCAATCAAGATTCATCCTATGTATTGGGCTTATCGGCCCAAATCGTAACACTCGAGTTCTTCACAGAAGAACACCATTGCAGTAAGTTTCAGAGCTTGAAGATGATCTGAGTTGAGAATGAGAAATCTAGGTTTGAAGTAGATGATGATGATGAATACTTGTGGTAACAATTTATCGCAGGAATGTATAGGTGTACGTGAAAGATGTGAGGAATTAGCCAAATCGTCGTCGTTTTACCGGATTGTTTACTCGGAGGTTATCCATCTTTCTTCTCCTTCTTCGATTTCTCACAGTATTCAGTTTTGGTTTTGGTGAACGAAGTTAGATTGTTTTGGTTTTGTTAGATTGAAGAAATTGGATGGGAACTGCTAAGGAGATTAGGTGGAGATTTAACATTTTTCAGCTTTCACGTTCTGTAAGTTGCATAACAATAAGGGTTTTCTTAGCTACTTACTAGAATTGTTTTAAGATTTCTACAATGTGGCTGAACCTTCATGTGACTTGTTAAGCTTTGTGTTATGAGCATTGTCATCATCATCATCATGTGTATCGTCATGTGTATGTACAGAGATAAGAAGAGAAGGGCTCACATTTTAGAAATTCAACTGCATAGAGACTATCCTAAATCTCCACCTTCCGTTTCCGCGGTTTGTTTTTGCTTCTTTTTTTTTTTTTTTTTTTGTGTATCAATTTTTCCACTCTCTGTTAACTTTTGCTGGACGCAGGATGTGCCCTATATGTTTACTTTGGAATGGTCAACAAGCTCAAGATTGAAAGATGTGATGCACCAATTCCAAAAGGTTGTTATAAAAATTTGCTAATATTTTCTCTCTTTGTAATCACTAATCCAGCAAGTATGTAAATTGGTTTCTTTCTCCTTAACAGCATTTGGACGATCTTCAAGACTTCTGGTCTGTCTTGGACGATATCGACAAGTCTCTCTCTGTTGTTGATGCTAAGCAACCATCTCGTGCTTCTCCTGTCCGTCGGATTCATGCTGGTTTAACACCTTTTTATTTTGTTTTCTCTAACATTTTTACAGTAATTGTGTTATAACAATTCACTCTTTTCTCAGGGAACGATTGCATCCTCGTTATCCATATCAACTTCGACGACCCTAAGTCCTTACCAGAGTATGTTTCTAGATTGAAAACACACTCCCTTTATCAGCATTTTCTAATACTGAATTGCTTAGACAGGTGCCGGTTTATTGGTCCTGTGCCTCCAGCTACGCATATGAACAACTTACATAACTTATGGAGAAGAAATAGCAAAAAGTGGTAAGAATCTGTAGTCTCTTCCCTCCCATTTTAAATCTCTTTCGAGTTTTGGCAGAATTAGAAAAGTAAGCTTTATGGATTGTTGAAAGCAGGAATCACGATTAGTTATAATCACACAGGTCAAAGGAAGTCTCATTTCCTGAGAACCTCGAATGTATTCTAGGTACTGAGCTTCCAAAGCCTCCAGGTCTCCAAGAGGAAGATGATCATCAGCAGATTGAATGCGGAATCTGCTATGCGCAGTTTCTACCCACAGGTGATTTCTCAAACCACGTCAAAAAAATTGATTTTTCAGAGTTCTGTATAATAACTTTCTCTGATGGTTCACTAATTTCCCATTCACTTTAAACTAGATGCGGAGCTCGGAGCTAGAAGTGGGACGCGAACAGATTACACATGCGAAAGCATTAGTTGCAATAAGTCTTTTCATAGCCTTTGTCTCACAGACTGGTTAAGATCTATCACAACAACTAGACAGTAAGTAGAAACTCTAATCTCTATATCTCACATAGCAACACACACAAGCGCTCAAGTATGATCCAATTTATTGCAGGTCTTCTGATGTTCTGTTTGGTAACTGCCCTTACTGTTCAGACCCAGTCGCGGTGAAGATCAACAACAAATAGAGTAGGAAAACCATCAAAATTAGCTGATTCTGGATGTTCTAATGAAACGTGATACAAAGAGAAGGGTTAGTACAGTGATGAGTAGTAGTGACTAGTGAGGACAAAACTCCCTTTTTTACTATTTTTCCTCTGTACGTTTAAGATAGAACTCATGTAGCTTTCAAAGAAGAAATGTGAATGTACCTTCCTTTTTTTCCTTCTGGCCACTCAATTCCAAAGGCTGATCTATCAATCACCATCAATGTAAGGTTTCAAGCAATAACTCTTTTACTTAGTAATTTTGAAAAAATAAAATAAAAGAGTATTTGAATGCTATGATTTGCCTTTTTCTCCACGGCTGCATCCTTTTTCTCCAGCTGTAGTAGTACTGTCGGTAGCTTAATAAATCTATGTTCAAGAACTCATATCATAAGTCTTACTTATAAAGCTATAATCTAAACAAATTAATTACTCTTTTTGCCCAATCAGTTAAACTGACCAAGATTAAGTGGTTTTAGAGAAGATTGATATAGAGAGATGGAATTATGAAAGTGATTTTTTTTTTTTAACTTACTGGTTACTGACTTCGTACTTTCGTAGTACATACTACATACTACTAGAAAGTGAGATAAAGCTCACACCACTCACTGTGCTTGTAATGCTACTCTTTCCTTTACGGTTTAGATAATTCTTTGCTTTTTTTCTCTAAATATATAATGTTTTACATTTTCAATATTTTTTTTTGTTTTTACAGGGTTTATCTTATTTTATCATTAGCTATATAAAAATGTAATTCTAATCATCTTAGAAAGATATCTGATTAGTGTGCATTCAACATGAACATCTATCTAATTTTGAGAAAGGAAGAGCCTGGTATTTATTGAGGGAAAATAAATCAATGAGAACTAGTTCGATTTTGAAGTTGAATAAAAATTAGATATTACATCCAATCCCAATAAATTTCAAATGGTTTTCTTGGAAATTTCTTAATGAGTTCCACATTATTTCAACAAGTTCTGAACTTGATAAGACATTTTCTTCCTAATGTTAAATGCAAATCTGACGCCTTTGCTGGATATGGGACCATATAGCTAAACCAATAATATCTTCTTCCTGCAACAAATCTATCTATGTAGGTTTTGATTCTTTCAGTTTTTGTGTTCTGTTTGATTTGGAGTTAAGCTACATAAAAAGTGTTAACTCTGCATATCAAATATGGTTGTAAACTAACGCGAAACAACAAACAAATCGTGTGTTACGACATTTATATAGTAACATAATGAATTTTTTAACATAATGAATAACATTTTGTTATAAGCAAAATCCATGTTTATTATAAATTTTCAAATAACCACAAATGAACCATTATACATCTATACACATCGCGCACTAATTATCGTACGTCTGCACAATTGCATAAAAAGGACAATACAATCCACAATTTCCCAACAAGTTATATATATAAAAAAATTATCGTACAAAGATGAAACATGATCATTGCAACGTACGTATGGTATTATTTTCAAGCACGACACTCGGGTGGTGGGACTGGGAACCTAGACTTGTCGGTACAATAATCATAAACCATATGGTTAACTCTAACCCATCGGTAACGTCGAGCTTCGACGGCGTTAAGCGAATGATAAGCAAAACCTTCCCACCAATTGTGAGTGTTGGATGGACAAGAGGCTGGTCCAGGAACAGGACAGCCTTCGATGTCGAAATCTTTGTAATAAGCATAAAAAGGAGCTTTGTTCCAATCAATCTTCTCTAATCCGCCACGTGTCGCCCAATCATCGGCTTCCCATAATGTTGAGTAAACTCCCATAGGTTGTGATGTTGGGTAAGCTATCTTCTTGGCTTCGTTGTTTTTGTATTCTCTTATTGGCACATCGTCTACGTAAAATCTGATTAATCATCAAAATACATATACCCACGTTATTTTTTTTTCTTTCAAAAAAGTAAATGGTGAATTTATATGACTCAGTTAATGTTTTTGAAAATTTAATAAGAGAAGCTTACACAATGTGTTTGTGTGACCACAAGATAGTGTAAGTGTGGAAATCCAAAGCCGGGTCGAACCAAAGATTAACTCTTTGTTCTCTGTCTCCTTTACCATGAGCAAATATGTTTGTTTGCACTGAGTAAGGTTGACCACTTCGGTTTCCCAAGAACTCGAAGTCTAGCTCGTCTCTCACCGTGTTCGTATCGGAATTCATCTATAGACACACGAACGAATTGACCGTTAATGTTTCAAGAAGATGGTATGTAATAACAATGTTGGTCGAGATACAACCATTAATTTAGAGGTTAATGTGTAAATTTTGAAAAACTAATTAATGAAGTGAAATGATATATAGACTTACGTAGAAGGCGGTGACTGTACCGGCAGAGTCTCCCGGAATGAGTTTGATTTTCATGCTCACTCGTCCGAATAGATATTTTCTTTTTGAAGCAAACCCACATCCTTTTGAAAGACAAATATGGACATGTGAGGGTATGAAACATCACCCAAAATGATATTTAATTTATGTGAAACTTTGGTGTATGTACCTGTGCTCTGGTCAAGGACAAGCTGGATAGATTTCCCACCGTCCATTTGGCGGATGTGAGATTCCGACCATGCGGCTTTGAAATCCTCGGCGAATGATGTGGGCCGAGCAGAGATCGGGATGAACATTACCGTAAAGAGAGTAAGAATGCAAAGAACATAAGTATCGGGAAAAGAAGGGAAAAACATCTTAGCGGCCATGGGACTTTTGTGTGTGTTTTAAAGGGAGTAGAGAGTGATAAGTGTGCATGTATGTATTTATACACACACATTTCTTTTCTTTTTTCTTGTTGCCAATGGGATTTAAGACGCTGACGTGGACGGTAGCATCTAAGCAATTCACAAGGAGACATCGTTTAGCTTTCCACACAGCTAACTGCAAGCCGTCTCTTGGCCTACTCATTTATTAATCTTTGTAAGTAATTAATTTAAATTCTAAAATAATGACCTAATTTTGATGCCATTGAAATTCTAAGGATGAGAATGCTTATAGTATCATCATGTTGTTACGTTGCTCATGACGTTTCTAATCGTTGAACCAAAGCTACTATACTATATACACCATTCCACAAGTCAAATTAAAAGGATTTATCAATCATCATTTGGTCAGTTTCCTTATAAATTACCTACGTGCTATTACAAGACATTAGTTAAATGTTTCTCTTCTTTTAAAAACAAATTAAAAGAAGAAACAATGCGAAGAAATGTTAAGGAAGAAAAGGTATTATGAACGTGTGGTTTGTAAACGTGAAGGCATGTAATGTAATGTCTCAATCAAAGGATGGTTGTGGTACATTACATAAACCTATGGTTCTAATTATTTTGGCATAGAGACTTTATAATATAAGGTTTTGTATCCATTGGATGTTTCCCATGGGCCACCTACGACCTACTAAATTACTTGTTTCTATCCAAATTTGAATACCAAAAAACAGAAGAATATCAAAATTTATTACATAATTCGGATCATACTTGAGTTTTGTAGCAAAATGTCGACTCAAGTGTACGTGGATCCGAGAAAAACAAATAAACAATAATTGGTACCAAATCACATGGGATAATTATGGTCTACTTCGACTTTACATCAAGGTAAGAAGTAAGAACATTATTAGAATAGGTCGTGATGTTTAACCAAAAATATTCAATACACATTTGCTGTCCTCTTAATATCAATTTTTCAGTTTCATGCTTTGTTACTTCAAAAAATCATAATCTTAGTGAGTCGCCGACATTGAAGAGGTGAAAACATTCATCAATTCGGGTGAAAGGAAAAAACACAGACGATATACATAGAAAGTTTGAACGAGAGAAACTTCAAAACAAAACTTGAATTTTTAAACGTCTATTGTCAAACAAAATAAGCTAATAAGCTATAAAGGTTTAAACCACCTAGAATTTAAACATCAACAAAAGGATCACAATCCAGAAAATATAAGTTGTGTTCCTGCTCTGCTTTATTACAAAACCACACAAGAAACTATCACTTGGAATCTCTCTCTCGAAAGTAATATAGATAACTTACCAATATAACATAGTAAGAACTCAGGATCAGATCATCGTTCATACTCACATCTCAGCACGCAGCTGCGCACAGACCCGAGTTTCCCCGCATGGTTTGAGTGGAACTGTTGGAATCAGTGTTGAGACCATTGAATGTTCTTGATATCGATTCCTTCTTTAACCATTTCATAAAGCGGGCTCATTTCCCTCAACTTCACAACCTGTCTAACCGTAAGTTCGACCGCTTTATCGATCTCTTCCTTTGTGGTAAACCTACCAATCCCAAACCGAATCGAAGTGTGAGCCATGTCCTCATCTACACCCAAAGCTCTTAACACATATGAAGGCTCCAAACTCGCACTAGTACAAGCACTTCCACTGGACACTGCAACTTCCTTCAACCCCATCAACAGACTCTCTCCTTCAACATAAGCAAAAGACAAATTCAGATTCCCTGAATATCGACTCTCCATTGAACCATTCACCACAACACCATCAAGCTTCTCTCTAACCCCATTAAGCAGCCTCTCCTGCAACCCCTTAATCCACTTCTCATCATACTCCATCTCCCTCATCGCCAATTCACAAGCAGCCCCAAACCCAAGGATTTGTTGCGTAGACGCAGTGCCACTACGCAATCCCCTCTCCTGACCTCCACCATTCATGAGTGGCTCAAGCCTGATTCTCGGCCTCCTTCGCACAAACAGAGCACCAACCCCTTTTGGTCCATAGATCTTGTGACCACTCATTGACATCAAAGCAATATTCCACTTCTTAACATCAACAGGTATCTTACCAATAGCTTGAGCAGCATCAGTATGAAACGGAACATTATGCTCTTTGCAAATCATACCAATCTCTTCCATAGGCTGAATTACACCAATCTCATTGTTCACAGCCATAATAGAAACAAGCCCTGTGTCTGGCCTAATAGCTTCTCTCAACATCTCTAAATCGACTAATCCATCAGTTTTCACAGGTAAGTAAGTTACCTCAAAACCTTCTTGCTGCAAATGCCTACAAGAATCAAGGACACACTTGTGCTCAGTCTGCGTAGTTATAACGTGTTTCTTCGTGTCCCTGTAGAAGTGCATCACTCCTTTAACCGCGGTGTTGTTCGCCTCCGTTGCGCCGGACATGAAAATGATCTCCTTGGGTGAAGCTCCGATCAGTTTCGCGACCTGGATTCGTGCGACTTCGACGGCGTTCTCAGCTTCCCAACCGTACAGATGCGTTCGCGAGTGAGGATTCCCGTACTCATTGATACCAGAATCATTCATCGCATCGAAGACCCTAGGATCAATCGGAGTCGTCGCTTGCATATCTAGGTAAAGAGGCCTACCTGAAATTCGAACTCCTTTCATCAAAATCGATTCATCCTCGTAGGCGGTGGAAGTATCAGCAGCAGCAGCAGCAGCGACGGTCGATAAGTGGTGACGCCGGGAAACAGCGCCGTGTGGCTTGCTTAGGGCTCGCCGGATTGTCGAAGAAATAACCTTAGACGCCATTGATCGTACAACTCGGCTTGCGCTTTCCGAAGTTTACCAATTTGAGTAATTGGATTCTCTACGATTGCTTCCTGAAGAAAGAAGAAGAAGAAGAAGAAAAAAGATGCGATAGTGAAAATGATAGCGTCACTGACGGTCTCGTGACGGAGGCAACGTGGTCGTCTCCCAAACCCTAAACTGAGTCGGTAAAAGTACAAAGCCTATGTGAACAGGCCTGTTAATATATAATGGGCTTTTCGTTACCCAATACTGTTTTAAAAAAGAAAGATAAAAGTTCAGTAGTTTTCGAAAGGAAAAAGAATGGGGTATTTTAAAGAAGGGATTGGGTAACTTGTAAAACCAAATTGGGTAACTAAAAGCCCAGTAACAAAGAAAAAAATAAAGTTTTCATTAGTTTTTATAGGAAAAAGCCCAAATTTTAAAGCAACGTCCAACCTAGATAATCGAATTTTGTACATAAGACAAGCCTACGGATTAAAATCAGACAAAGATAAGCAAAGTCACTCGAGTGATTTCTTCTCTTTGAGCAACTCTACTACTTTCCTCATGGTCGGCCTGTTAATCGGAAATGATGACGTACAGAGCAATGCAACGTCAAGAACTTTCTCTATCTCTTCATATTCTCTAGTCGAAAGTTTCATCTTTGGATCCACAAGCTTCCTAAGATCTCGATAATTTCCAGGTGGTGAATCTTGATTCATGGCTCCATCTTCTGGTGACGAAAAACAGTAACACAAAGCTGCTTCCATTGCAAACTTGACAATGTCCTTATTCTCCCCAAAAGACGAATCGTTCGGTCTTTTTCCGGTTATCAATTCGAGTAAGACCACCCCAAAGCTATAGACATCACTCTTTTCATTCACTTTTGACGTATAACCATATTCTGTATAACCACAAAAAGAACAATACAAATTTCAAATAATGCTACTAAAAAGCTTAAGGTTATTTGTAATAGAGTTCATAGAATCGTTACCAGGAGCAATGTAGCCGTATGATCCAGCAACACAAGACATCGTAGAAACATCGGAGACACCATCATTGTCTTTTCTCTTCAACGTTTTAGCTAAACCGAAATCGGCGACACGTGGCTTCATCTCATGGTCCAACAATATGTTATTGCTTTTAACGTCACGGTGAACAATCGGCGGAACAGAGTCATGATGTAGATAAGCAAGTCCTTGAGCAGCACCAACCGCGATCGAAAACCGTGTCGTCCAGTCAAGTGAAGAAACGGCAGAATGTTCTTTCTTTGAATGCAAAACGTCACCCAAGCTTCCGTTTTCCATGAACTCATACACTAAAAACCGAAACTCTTCGCCGTTGCAGCACATAAGAAGCTTCACGATGTTTCCATGTCTGACCCGACCCAGAATCTCTACCTCGGATCTGAAAAGGGATTCGGATTTAGGTTTCTGACCCGCTCCTCCCCAGAGTTTCTTCACCGCGAGCGTCTGACCTGACTTGAGTTTTACTCTGTAAACCAAACCCGATCCGCCCGACCCGATCATGTTGTCTTCCGTTAATTGCGGGTATATGTCTTCCTCCGTGAACTCGACCCGTTGAAAAATGGTTATTTTATTGGTCTGTTTCGGTTTTCTCTTGAACAACGATTTGGTTTTGATGAATAGACAAACCAAAGCTCCGGTTAGTACAACGATGCAAAGGATTGTGATCGCGAGGATGTACCGAGTTCCCGGTTTGGTTCGGCATGGTCGTATCGGATCCATATTCGGGCCACATAGATTCGGGTTACCCAATAACCCCGATCGAAAAATATCCTGCTGAAATCCCGAAGGGATCTTACCGTAGAGTTTGTTATCGGAGATGTTGAACTGATTAAGCTTCAGCTTCAACAGCTCCGACGGAATCTCACCGGTGAGTTGGTTATTGGAGAGATCTAGGTAGTTCAAAACCGGTAAATCACCGAGTTCTTGTGGTATTCCGCCGCGTAAACGGTTGTTCGAGAGATTCAACTCGGTTAATTGGGTGCACGAACTCACCGAACTCGGAATCTCGCCGTCGAGCATGTTCTCCTGCATCTCCAGTCTTTCTAGATCCTTCAATTTGTTAATGCAACTCGGAAGAGATCCTGAGAAGCGGTTTCGGCTAAGATCGATGACTCTGAGATCTCCGAGATCACAGATATTGTGGGGAATCGCACCGGAGAAGTTGTTACCGGAGATTTCGAGCTGAGACAGATGACTAACATTGGATATCGAAGGAGAAATCGAACCTTCTAATTGATTGTTGTTGGCTAGCTCGAGACGAGTAAGAGGAAGTTCCCAAAGCCTAACCGGAACTTCGCCGGATAGTTTGTTATCCGCCATACGAATGTAAGTAAGCGACTTACAATCGCCGTAAGATTCCGGAATTTTCCCGCTCAATTGATTTCTGAAGCTGATTAACCTCAGAAGCTTTCTTCTGTAGCAGAGATACGGCGGCAATTCGCCGGAGAATTTGTTCGTGGAGACATCGAATTCAGATATACCGGAGAATTTTCCGAAATTCCTAGGTAACGTACCGGTGAAGCTGTTGTTGAAGATCTTGAACTCGACGAGATTAGGATTCAGAGCTACGACATCTGGTAATCCTCCGGTGAAGAAGTTATCGTTGAGATTGAATGAGATTAGTTGCAGAGCAGCGATTTTTTCCGGCAATTCACCGGTGAGATTATTCTGAGAGACATCAAAGTTCCTCAATTCGGTTAAATTTCCGATACTCTCCGGCAATTTTCCAGATAACTGGTTACCGAATAGCTCAATCTGATAAACCGATTTGAGTCTTCCGATGCTGTCAGGTATTTCTCCGGTGAGACCGTTCATAGCTAAATCGAGATTCTCTAGCAACACCAGATTCATGATCGAATGGGGAATTTCTCCGACGAGGTTCGATTGAGTTAGCCGTAGATCACTCAGCTTCTTCAAGTTCCCAAAGATGGATGGGATTGGACCAGGCTTGAAGCTGATATAAGCGAGATCAAGACGAGTCAACTCAGTCAGATTACCCAAAAATGCAGGAACGGTTCCACTGAGCGGGTTGCCATTAAGGTTGAGAACTTGGAGAGAAGTTAATCTTCCGTAACTTTCAGGAATCTTGCCGGTGAACATGTTTGATTCCAATTCAAGAACTTGTAGATTACGAAACTCCGGCGAGAACTCAGGTAATATACCGGAGAAGTTGTTAACATTGAGGATCAAAACCTGAAGTTTAGAACAGAGGGAGAGAGGAGCAGAATCAATCGTACCGTTTAGATTGTTTTGAGAAAGAGTGATGTTGATGAGTGTACGAATACGGCAGAATCCGTAAGGAAAACCACCGGAGATATTAAAGCCGGAGAGGTCTATGGCTGTGACGGAGCTACTGTTTTTGATGATGTCGCATGTGATACCAGTCCAGTTACACGGACTACGATTGTCTCCGGTTACGACCCAATCTTGCAAATTTCCATCCGGGTCAAAAAGTCTGGTCCTTTTAACACGGCTCAAAATCTCAGCATCTCCATTGGAAGAAACTTGGAGAAAACAAGAAAGAAGAAGTAGAGAGAGGAACAAGGAAAGAGTAGTAGTAGCAGTAGTGGTGATCATCGTGTTGGGAAGAGAGAGTGATGATGGAACAACACGATGAAGGTGAAGAGAGAATGTTGTTCATGGAATCGTGATAAAAAGAAGAAGAAAAAGGTGAGTAACGTTTAAATTTGAGATTGTTGATTTAAAGATGAACGGATTTGCAGGTTTGTCCAATGGGACTTTGGTTCTCTATTTTTTTATGCTTTATTTTGATTCACATGGGAAGTAGGTTTAGTGTGAGTGACAGTTTGTTTTGAAGAGTTTTGTGGGAGTGTCTTAAAGATAAGTTGAAAAGGAATCTAGAAAACTTTTATTAAGGCCAACATTATCTCCTTTTTTGTTTTTGTTTTTTTGTTTTAGTTGTCGTTGGGTGGATGAAACTAATAATATAATTAATGTATGTATATGTATGGTGAAATCGACTAATCTTAGAAAGACTATCCCTTCATACGTTTGATACGAAAATGGTTATTGTTTGACGGAAATTGAATTTTGTTTGTCATTGTTTGGGTTATTAGATATGTAACGGTACGACTGTGAAGAAAGTGAAGTAGTGCGAGCAAAGCGTGAGTTACAATGTCGTGATCTCTTCTTTTTTTGGATTACAGTTACAGACAACCAGAGAAATTTGAATGAGAAACGAGTTTGAAATTTCCTCTTCTTTTCCAATCTTGTGTGTGTTTCCACCAGAAAAGAAAAAACTAGTGAGATGCCGAGTAAAACACGAAAACATGTAATATTAACACGCAAGTTATAATAAGAAAACCGTACATTAGCGTGGACGTATGTAATTGTAACGCTTTGATCACCCTTTTTTTTTTTGGTAAAAGGTTAAATATTGATCACCCTTTTTCCCACTAATTATAACCCAAGTGGCTTTTGTGTGTAAAATTTTCTCGTAATCGTAATTGCACTCTAATAGACTATGTACATTTCTAGCCTTAAATTGGTTGTTTAATGATTAGATTTGCGTTTACATAACTAAATAATATGCTCGACTTCAGAGTCTTTCCATGTGTTTGTTAAAACCGGTCATATGAAGTCAGTAAAGTCAGAGTCTTTTACGTTTCACCGTTTTGTCTTTTAAAAAGAGAATATAATTTAAAAGAAGATGAAGCTTGAAGTTATGTTTGATGGTTAATCGAACAACAGTTAGACAGTAGCTTTCACTAGGGGAGGATGGTAAAGTGTCCCTTAAATGGATGCATTTAGAACAGAGAATGTTTAGGTAAGAGTAAGACTTTTGTTTGTTCAAAACTCTTCTTTTAGTCTTCAGTTAGGCGCAGTTAATGTCTAATCTTATAAGTTAATAATTTAACAGTGTTACAAGACTTCGGTTAGGAGTATTGATTTAAAACCATTAAACAATCTTCTAGAAGGCAGTAACAGATAATTTGGTGGTGAGTGTAAAAAACTTTATCTTCAGAATCATAATAAATAGGAAGGGAGACACGAGATATCCAGATTCACGTACGACTCATTGGAATCTGAGGCTTTCTCTACTTAATTAGCAATAAATTTCGAACTTGTATACAGTACATCTTCTTGTTTTTACATTGGAATATGCAATCTCCCGGAAGACACTCAATCTACGTCGCCGTGAAGACTCTTCTGTCTGAATAAAAGCAGTAATCTTCTTAGTCAACATTTGTCTTTTCCCAAAAACATCTTCTAATTTGTTCTTACGTCAAATAAATGCGTTTTTAGTCACTATTATAAGGAGTACACTATAAACGGTCATTTTAGGTTAATTATAAAAACTGGTACGTTACTTAACAATAAAAGTACTTAAGTAAGACTTCACCCACATCGAATTTATTAAAAATGGATAAGAAAATATGATAATGTACGTTGGTGGTTTATCAGTTACATTTTTTATTTTATTTTTCTTGGTTTATCAGTTACATGCAATCCCATAATAACTTAAGAAGGTTGTTGAACTGCTCTTATTCTTCTTCTTCTTTTGTCTTTTTTTTCTTTATCACTTGCTTATCCTCGAGGACCACGACACTCTCTCTATCCAACTTGTGTGTTGTGTCGCTTCTTGTGCATGTAAAAACATCATTTTATGTGACTACGCGTGTTTTCTCTTTAGCAAACGTTACTCTATTGTTTTGTTCCAAAAAGAAGAAGAAACTATAATAATGTTTATATAATATAGCCAGCTGAATGAATCTCTGGAACCGGACAGAGCGGAACAGAACAAATTTATCTTTTGTCTTCTATATATGCTGACTGCTGAGTAAAGTAAGTATTTCAACAACACTGGAACTCGCGGAACATTGAGGGTGTTTAGTTTAGTCGATAAATTGGGCTTTAGTCTTCAAAATAAAGCCCATTCTTTCCTTTTTAGTGATCCTGGCTCCTTAATTAGTTGGGCTTTAAGTCTTTAAAAATAATACATGGGTCGGGGGAAGGTAGGCCCATATATTAGGCCCATATATTCCTGGCGTAATATGAATAATTTTGGTGTAGTATGTCACGTTTTTTTTGAAAGTGGTCACTTTTACTCAGCTCATCATATAAAAAAACTTTCACGGGTTATGCAATCATATAAAAACACAGATAGGTGTTTTTGGTGTGTGGGACTTTCTCGTGTATACAGAGTATAGTGTCGTGTGATCTCTCTCATTTTTGAAAAGAATATTAAAAGCCACAAACCACTAAAAATATGCAACAAAAGGAAAGAAAAATGCAAAATAAAGAAGAAAAAGGAAAATCTGAATAATGAGTCTCTCGTGACGCTTTATAGATCATAGAATGTTTGTGAGACACGTGTGGGAACTCACGTGTCAAGTTGACTGGGTCTTCCCTTTTTTGGAGGATAGTCATTGGTGCGATTTTCGAATCCAATAGAGAAAGTTTTTGATTCGCAATTATAACAACTTTGCTTTTTCAAAAAATGTTTTAGTATTTGATGATACATTCAGTTTACTGAATCTGTAATCATTATTATACTGCAAACGTTAAAAGAGTCTCAACGGATACGAGTTCAATCCCCACTTGGTAGTAAAATACAAGAATATATATAAACACTGATTAGTTAAGATTTATTCTAGTAGTAGTAAATTAAGTAGTAATTAGTACTAGTACTTAGTTGTTTCATATTATTATCATCAGTCGACATTGTTGTTAAGGCATGCTTTGCGATAGCGCAAGATGTTCAACATAACATTGATTTGAACCTGTTAAATTCGATTTTCAGAAAGCTGATAGATACTTGTTTTATGCATGTGCAAAACTTATAATGATGGTAGTAATAATTACATATCCAAAAAAAATAATAATAATAATAATAATAATAATTACATATCCAGACAATTAATTATTAGGAGTTAGATCATGCCTAGTAATTAATAAAAGAAGGATAGATCATGCAAACATTATATACCATGTATAGTGTGGTTAGTGAGCTTTACAGCTAACTATAATTTAAATTATTTTCTAAAGATGCATATGTATGTGCTTATAATTCAGAAGGATAAGAAGCATATGGAAACATATTCACGTTTGATCTTTAAAAGATGTCTGTAATTAAACAAATTAGAAAAGGGGGCAATAACCAATGTCTCTTCTTCTTTTTGTCCTTTCAACGTCACCTCAATATTACTACTTTATAAATTTAACCACTGATTATTTGATCTCTTCGTTACAAGAATATACTATCATGAAGCATCTCCTGCATTTTCTTTATGAACAATATAAAACAAAAGTACTCTGCAAATCATCATAGATAAGTACATTATTACTCGTGAAACTTATGAAGGTTCATAGTGAACCCTTTGATTTTACGTAAGTCGATGACTAGTATGACGAATCTCTCTACCTAACATCAGTTTGCGATATGACACATAATTTTCACACACACACATATCGCATTATCTATCTTGACCTACGTACGATGAATCAACTTCATCTACTAACTGTTTACGTCCTTTATCTTAAGTTAAGTTCAGTCACATGTCAGGGCAAAACAATAATCGGTTCGTAACTTACGAAGTCATTGCATTTTCAACTCCACTAATCATACATTTGTATTAACTGGGATAGAAACACATACGCACCATACGAATTCAAAACGAAATGAGGAATATTTGGGCCAACACAACAGCCACTAGTATATAAAATCATGGTAAAAAGCGACGATCATTATTATCATCTTACATAGTTAGGCACTTCCGTAGATTATTATATCGGGTTGGTGAGTGATGGCAGGTAAGACGATTAGATAACAAGAGCGGCTAATACCAAAATATATACACATAATTCTATTAGCGGTAATGTTTCAAATATCAAATCAACGTATAAATTTTTTGAAAAGTTCTAAAAATAATGTTATTGTGTAAATTATAACATTGGTGTAAGGATTCTCTAAACAACTACGAAGGATGGGACATAACCATGTCGGGGAAAACAATGAAACCAAAGAAGATGACAAAAAGGACCCATTCAAAACCACACAGTGGCAGTGCACTCCTTTCTTTTTCTCTTCTACGTACGTGTCTCTGTCACATCTCAATCATATATTCCACGTGGCTTTTTCCACCTTCGAAACTAACCAATGAGAAATGTTTGAAACTAATGATATTTATCTTTGCTACGTGTAAACTGGTATAGGGCCTATGTAGCGTAGACACAGAGTAAAATTAAGTTATAAAATTGGGAGTTATAATTTTCAGTGCTTATGAGTTGTCACGGATGAAAATTCTTTGAGATAAGTAACTTTATAGTAGTATTTTTTTGTTATTGTTTTTGTCCGGAAATTACGCATAATGTGAGAATATAAATTTTAAAAAGCTGATAAGGAAAAGACATTTGCTAACTATTCTTTTTCCCTCTTTTGTTTTCACCTTTGTCATCCATCGAACATGAAACAATCCCATGGACGTATTGTTGTTATGCGCGATGAACTCGTGATCACACACACGCAATGTATGTTTCAAGGAAACCAAAAACACTTTTTGTTCGTTTCTGAAATAAAACGTTACAATTTGTTTTTAGATATATATATATATATATAAATTTGCAACGTATATCACTCTTTAAAGCCACTAGCAGCAATAGACTTTACTAAGAATGATTGGATGATAGTGTTTCAACGGAGGACTGTTACATTATAGAAAATGCTTACCAACTATACAAGTAAATTAAATCACAATTATTATCATAGAGTTCCGTGAGAATCCCTATCAAAGCTTAATTACAAGTTAAACCATTAATTAGGCAAACTCTAAATATGAACAAAACATGAACAAAGCTACATGTATCATGTTTGGTCCAAAACTTCTCATAAAGAAACCTAGACTAAACTAATAAGTAAGATATATACAATCATCATTTGGAAACTAGGTACAACCAAACAAAACCATATAAATGTAAGTTGGGTGTGGCTTATTATGAGCGACGAGCTAGTGAGGATTCATAAATGCGTTACCAAGACTAGGAATTGCTTCATGAGAAGGGAAAAGAATTAAGGCAGAGAGAGATCCCATTAAAGACTTACTACGACTTGCCATATACATATTTTGCATGTGGGGGGGGGGGGGGGGAAATATTTGTGAGTGAGAGAGCTTTTACTCTTCTTACCTATACGACTCTCCGATTTATTAACTCAGAGAAAAACCCAATCATTATTCTCCCCACCACATTTATATACCTTTGACATCTCCCCCGACACATGCTCTGTTCTCTCTTTGATTATTTCTTACAAAGCTAGAAATTTTCACCTAAACCACAACTTTTACCGCTCTCAATACGACGGTTACTAACGATGCCAAGAGCCCAAGACAAATTACCAAAGACAAAAATACATCAGTGGCAGATGCGTAACGGATACAAGTCTTGACATGCGGGGGTATTCATGCTACTACACTTGCACATTTTCAACACCAAGTCTTGGATTTATAAACTCACATTATTCAAGACAGACTTATAATTTTTTCGAGAATTATATTCTTTTTCCCCTCAGAAAAAAACTTCAACTGTACATTTTCATTCATACAAATTACAAACTAAAATAGAGCCACGAATTCGATAATTAAAAAAGAAAAAAAAAAGAAGATAAAAGTAAAAGCCGAGCAAAATGAAAACACACTTAAAAATAGTTAAACAATTATAACACTAAACCGAACCAAAGCATAGAACCAGACTAACAAACCAAAGCTCATCGCTAAAACCTTTCTTAAAAAGACGAATTTACCCTTATACCCCCTAACTTTACCTCCGGGAAAAACTTTTCATAGATTAAGCAGATCCGGTGGACCTTCGCCACCGGCCTTCGGCGAAAGCTCACTCTCCGGCGTCGATTCCGTCGTCGTCTGATCCTTCGACGGTGGCAACTTCGGGATCTCGGTGAGAATCTGAACGACTTCTCTCATCGTCGGCCTCTCAACAGCTTGTTCTTCAACACAGAGCATCGCGACGTAGAAGACGTGCGTCACTTCATGAATCGGAATCGAAGAAAGTCTCGGATCAAGCACTTTCAGAACCGACTCTTTGTTCGAGTCTGTCATTTTACGAACCCATTGAACGATATCGACACCGTCTCCGAATTCCCCGACGGGTTTTCTTCCGGTGACGAGTTCTAAAAGAACCACACCGAAACTGTACACATCGCTCTTCTCATCTACCTTCAACGTATACGCATATTCTGTACAAACAACAAAACAGAGCAAAAATATCTTCAAGTTAGAAGCTTTTCTTAGAAAAACAGAGCAAGAGATTGTAAAGTTGGAAACTTTTTTTTATTTTGAAGATTTCAATACCTGGAGCAATATAGCCGTATGATCCAGCGATTGCAGACATACATTCAGAAGTACCGGAATCTTGAAGGAACTTAGCGAGACCAAAGTCAGCCACATGGGCTTCAAAGTTTGAATCGAGGAGGATGTTGTTTGATTTGACATCTCTGTGAACGATCAAAGGTGAACAGTCGTGATGAAGATAACAAAGTCCTTTTGCAGCTTCAAGAGCAATCTTGTAACGTGTGTCCCAATGCAAGTGTCCTCCTTTCTTGCCGTGGAGCACCTCACCGAGACTACCATTAGGCATGTACTCATAGACAAGAAGATTTGTCTCGTGGTTAGAGCAAAAACCGAGAAGCCTCACGATGTGTCTGTGTCTTATCCTCCCTAAGGTTTGAATCTCTGCGTTGAATCCGTGGTCGTGGGAAGATCCACGAGACATTGCAGCTAGTCTTTTAACCGCGACTAGATCACCGTTAGGCATTACGCCTTTGTAGACAATACCGGCTCCTCCTTTGCCAATAATGTTGTCTTCTTTGAGAGAATCCAAGACATCATCACATGTGAAGTCTAGTCTCTGGAAAGCTGTTAATCTCCAAGCTCGTGACTCGCTCGCCTTTTTCAATGACCTAGCTTTGATTATGGCTGCAACCGCGAAAGCAATCGAACATACGAGTAGTCCAAGGACTAGCAATAGCTTCATAGAAGCTGATAGAGGTCCTTTGCTATGACTCTGGTGAGCTCCTTTAGAAACACCATCTTTACAAGGGCCAAGGTAAGGACCACAGAGATCAGAATTGCCCAAGAAAGATGTGTAGTTGAAGTAACTGAACTGTCCGGTTCCCGGAACTAAACCAGAGAGATTGTTGTAAGAGAAATCAAGTGATGTTAAGCTCTGCATTGACGAGATCGAACCAGGGATTGATCCAACCAGATGGTTTCTCGACAGATTCAAGTAATTCAATATCTTCATACCAGTGATCTCGTTTGGGATTTCACCAGAGAGCTCGTTCCGGCTCAGATCGACAAAAGTTAAGAGCTTACAACGGCTGATCTCTGGCGCGATTCTTCCGGAGAACAAGTTGTGACTGAAGTCAATCTTAGAGAGCTGCTGAAGCTTCCCTACCTCTGAAGGAATTGGACCTTCGAACTTGTTTCCGTCAAGGAGAAGTTTTTGAACGCCAGTGAAGTTTCCAATCGCCGGAGGTAATGGACCTGAAAGCTGGTTGTTTGATAAACTGATCTGACCTAGATTGACGGAGACACCTCCTGCCACCGGTAATTGTCCGGAGAGATAGTTATCTTGGAGCTCCACTTGAGTTAACTTGGGTAATCCGAATAGTCCTTTAGGGATTGACCCGTTGAGGAAATTTTCACCCATTCGGATCCGGGTCAAAGACTCACATTTACCAAGAGAATCAGGGATTGAACCAAAGAGGAAGTTTCCAAGAGTGATTAAAGTCTCTAACTTGTTACCGGAGCACATGTTCGGCGGTAAAGTTCCGGTGAGCTTATTGGAAGAGAGATCGACGAGATTGAGTTTACCATTTTCCCCTAACTTCTGCGGGATGCTTCCGGTGAAGTTGTTCTCCCAAAGCTGTAACACCTCAAGCTCCGGCAAGACTCCGATGAACTCCGGTATCTCGCCGTGAAGTTTGTTTCTGAAAAGATTCAAAAGCGTGAGGTTTTTAAGCTCTGCGAAACTTGCTGGAATCTCTCCGGTGAACATGTTGTTAGACAAATCCATTGATTTTAAGCTCGAAAGCGTTCCTAGCTCCCAAGTTAACGGACCGGAGAAGACATTCACTTGCAAGAAAAGCGTGTCGAGCTTCTGAAGCTTCCCGATCTCCGGCGGAATCTCTCCGGTTAATCCGCAATTAGCACCGTCTAATCGGACAAGCTCCGATAAATTTCCGATCTCTGGAGGTAAACCGTTTTCAAAAGCGTTGTAGTAGCCGATGTAAAGCTCTCGGAGAGTTGTTAAGTTCCCGATCTCTGGAGGAATTTTACCGACGAGCTCGTTGCCGGAGACAGCTAAATACTCGATAACCGGCCAGCTTCCGTACGAAGGCGGGATCTTTCCAGCGAAGTAGTTCCCGCCGAGGTGAAGATGCCGGAGCTGAGTCAGATTGGTGACGGAAACCGGCAAGTCTCCGGTCAAATTGTTGTTGTAAACATCGAGGACTCGGAGATTCACTAATCCATACGAAAGCTCATCGGGGAAGGAACCGTTGAAGACGTTGTTGGAGAGATTCAGGTGACGAAGACCGGAGAGATTCGAGATCTCCGTCGGAATCGGACCGGAGATCTGGTTTTCAGCAAGCGAGAGGTTCTGAAGAAGACGCAAATGCGAAACGTCTGGGGAGAGAGTACCGGAGAGGTTGAGACCGGAGAGATCAAGAGAGGTCACGTGACGGCGAGAGACGTCGCACGTGACACCAACCCATGTACAGAAGCTTGTCGAGACTTTCCAAGAGGAGAGAGGCGAGTTCTTGTCATCACTTCCGGCGCCGGTGAGAGAGGATTTGAGTGAGAGAAGGGCACGGAACTCGGAGATTGGTCGGCTCGTGGTGAAGGAATGAGAAATGTGGAGGAGAAATAGAAGGAGAAGAAAAAGTTTCATTTTTTTTTCTTGCTATATCTCTCTCTCTCTATTGTCTGTGAGAGATTAGGGCTGTGTTGTGTGAGAGAGATGGTGTGAGGAGTGTGGAGATGGTAGTAAGTGAAGAAGAAGAAGATGAGGGACGGTGTGTATTTGTTTTATATTGGTTTAATTTCTTTGTGCTTTATTTTTTTGGAATTGAAGATTCATGCCACGTCAGATTTTGATTTATGTTACATTACTTTGATTTTTATAACTAAAAAGTAGTAATTGGTGGTGGGTAAAAACAGTAAACACGAAATTACAAATCAATAAATTTACTAGTCCTGATTTGATAAAAGAGTGAAGTGATAGACTGCGAAGAAAACAGTAAAATAGGAGTATTAAAATATAGAGATTTCACTAATATTCGTTAAAAATTTGGAATTTTAATTGAAAAAAATGAAACGGAGTTAACTATACGTTTATACAAATAATTCAGATTCTAAACCATATATTATTTATGCTTAGACGAAATGAATATTGGTATTATTTACAGGTGACTTGGTACGATTGAGAATATACTATTATCAGAGAAGGTTCATTTATTTTGTTTTGGAGCCATGTTGTTCTTGAAACATTTGAAATGTGATGTTCTCATGTCTTGACAAAAAAAATTCCCTATACTTTTCTCATTTCATACTACTACACTTTTATTTTGTTTTTTAATAATCATGACTTGATTTCTCCAATTAAACTTGCGCATGTTTAACTGTGATTGGTAAGGTAAATAACATAGATTTTCACTTTAATTATTTTTGAGAAACCAACAATATAAATATGGAAATCACACAGAAATACGAAAACAAGGACAGGTGATAATCTTAGAAATATGGTTTTTTTGGGGAAAACGACAAAAGCTAAAAAGATCGTTATTGGTAATCAAATCCCATACGTATTATTAAGTTAATGATGCTTTAAAGCAAAAAAAAGAAGGAAAAACCCAATAATTAAAATTAGATGAACGGTCAAGATGCAATCGGAATCCAATGGGATAGTCAAAAAGTTGTACCAAAGCCGGACCCGCTGTTTTAAAAGAGAGGTTTATAGTAATTGGGCCGTAAATTTGGGCCCATGTGTCCGAAAACACAATAGTGAATTAATTATTATGTTTTGTTTTGTACTTGTGTTGCCTTTTTAGCTTTAACAATTGGGGTCGTATTTATTTGATTTGGTCGATGATATGTAATAGAAAAAATTGAAGTACATTTCACAAAGTAGTTTTTTAAAAAGATATTTATACACCACCATTTCAGACCGTATAATAAAATTTCTCTGTAACATAGCAATGTATATATATATAAAAACTAGCAGATATATTAAAGTTTGGAAAGCTACGTGAAGTAAAAGTGTAAATCGATGAAAAGGAAAAAAGAAAGTTGTATGAAAAATAAAAATTAAAAGAGATTGAAAATGATTGATAATTATTAAAAAGTAATAATTTTGCTGGTGGTAGGAAAAAATTAACAGAAAGGCTTTGGTCAATTATTTTGTTTGACTGAATACATTCTTGACCATGGAACATTTATATAATTACTTCTCTACCATCGAGTCTAAACCATAACATTGTCGGTTTTGGGATAAACATATGAAATGACGAAAAGCTCTCTAATTCGTCGTCATTGATGAAGGCCGAGACTAAGGGTGTGATCGTAATTGTAAAGTGTCACTGCTCTACTCTACTCTAATCATTTCTCCATTGTCGTTTCAACAGTTTAAAACATTTTAATACTTTTACAAACTTGCTAGGCAGAATAAAATTAACTTCTTTTGCTTGCAATATCACACTAAACGTTCATTAGCTTTATGAACTAAACCTCAACCATTTTCGAAACAAAACTGAGCCAAATTCATTCATACTCGTATTATTTACATTCGGATTTTGTAATCAAAGCACATGTGAAAGGAGCTTTATATAAGAAACTTTATGAAAGTTCTGGGAAGTAGTAGGTGCTTAAGGAGAGATTCGTTTTTTGATTTTTACACCTTTTTTTTTTCCTACTCTCTTCCCTATTTCCAACTTTTTTTTATAAATTTAAAAAAACAATTTGTCTTGAAAATTGAAAAAAATTTAAGTCGATAGAAAATAGACTGAAATGAAGCATAATGAGATAACATTGGTTTAAGAGTTCAAATATAGAGAAGAATCCAAAGCCAAAAGCAAAGTTGTTTAACTATAGATGGAATCACGTTGTATCCAACTATATCCATTAACCAAGTTTTTTTTTGGTTTGTTTTGTTTATTCTTTACCGCATCGTCTCGTGTTGTGTTCCTTTTTGTCTCCTTAAATGCACATCTCTATATCCATTCAGGATTCTTATTACCAACACAATCTTGATTCATATCTCTTTACTCACCAAAAAGATCACTATCATTAGTAGAGTAATACGTAGTCCGAATGGAATGATTATTATTACCATATTCCATGATAGTCTTTTTTTCTAAGCTAGCAATACCATGTGAAATCTTTCTTTCTTTTCATAATTTTTGTATGCAGTCGTTGGAACCGAGAGATTAAACGGAAGAATAAAGAAAGCTCAACAACCATAGTTGATTTCAGTACGATTACGAAAATTTTGAAAGTTTATTATTGTTATTAGGAAAGACTGAAAGCACAAAGCTAAGGTTTAGGCAGTGATATGTTTTGCTTCTTTTGAAACCATGTACGTTAATAATAGAGAGAACATGTTCTGAAAGTGACGCATGATGAAGCAAAATAAACCAAGACAATGGTCTCTCAACAAAAGTCAGTCATCTTTTTTTTTTCTTTTGGTTTGAAAAATTGAGATATTAGAAAAAAAAAGGTGTTACTGATTTTTTTCTCTCTTCAGTTTCTGCTAGTGGTCCATTTTAAAGGTGAAATACGATCCAATAAAAGTGAAAATGGGACCATAAACTTGACATCTTCACATCACCCACTCTGTTTCTGAGTCCGACCATCACGGATATAAAACATGGCCCAACTAATTTGATACAGTCCCCATAACTTATCTAATACCAGCTACTCACTCAGTATGATCACTTTGGTAAAACACTGTGTAATACTTGAAAAAATGTATTTTTGCATTGGGAAAAAGAGAGAACCAGAGAGGGAACATGTTATGGACATTTCCTGTATTAACTCTCGCAAGTCATTTTCCATTTGCAGGATTTGCTTCAACCCCTCGAATGGTGTCAGATCGAGTTTGTGTCTCTTTTACAACTGTATAGCACTTTCTAGATTCTACATCACTAGACAACTGATGAAAGAAAAAATCAATAAGAACAGAACTACACTAGCAAGAACAGGATGATACTGCATTGGATCACTGATGGATGTACCTACATCTCTCTATAAAGATGGGTTTAAAAGAGAGGTTTTTGTTGTTGTTCTTCATTCTTTCTTATGTGTCCAAATCCTTATTGATTTGTCGAGTGAGCCTGATGCAATCAAGTTCTCGGTTGGGTGGGATGCCACCGTTGTGACTGTTTCGGTGTGGCCTTCTAGTTTCTGAAGCATTTGCTTGGAATTCAACTCCCACATGTAAACACAGTTGTCCTCGGATCCGCTAATGATCCGCTTTCCACTTGTGACAGAGAATGCAGATGAAATGCAGTATTCTGAGTTTGTGTGTCCGGTGTATGTCTTGACGAACTTAGCTGTAGAAATGTTCCACAACCTCTGTATATTGAATACCACAGAGAAAGAGATTAGTGAAGGATCCCTTCAAATTCAGAGATCAATGGTATATGAGGAAACCAAAGGAGGCAAAAAACACGATTCCTAACAATGTGAGCTTCAACTTCAAATCCACGTTAAATCACCTCTAAGTTAAAGCTAAACTCTAACACAACACTATCCACCCAAAATGAAACTGGAGAGACCACCATTGATGGCTGTACTATCCATTAACTCCTTCTACTACTATGTCAAGAGTGAATTCCTAGATCATAAACACAATGCCGTTCTAGTATCATTTCGATTCGATTCTATACGAGACTCACTCACCAGCCTATTGTCGAGTGTGCCAATGAGGATGTATTTGCCGTTGGGAGAGAACTTAACGAAGGAAACAGGAGGATTCTCATCGTCGATTAAGGTCTTCACACAATGCCCAGTTCCAGAATCCCAAACCCGACACAACCCATCGTAGCTACTGGACACAACTAGAGACCCATCACGATTGAAATCAACACAAGTCACAGGATCAGAATGCGCAGGAAGAACTTTCAAGCATTTGCCAGATTTCACATCCCAGATCCGAACAGTCTCATCAAAAGAACCAGATACGATCATGTTGGATTGAGGATTGAAGTTCACACAGAAGACGTAGTTAGAGTGTCCCCTAAGCGTTTTGATGAGAGAACCAGTTTCAACGTCCCACAGCTTAAGGGTTTTGTCATCGGAAGCTGAGACGATGAACCTCGCGTCGGAAGAGAAGGCGATGTCCGAGACGCCGTTGTCGTGGCCGGAAAACTCGCGAACGGGGCTGCAGATGGAATCTTCTTGAGCAGTGTCGATTGCGTAAGTGCGGATTGTTTTATCGGCAGATGCGGAGGCTAAGAGGCGACCGTCGGAGGAGAATTTCACGGAGGAGACGGCTCGATCGTGGGAATTTAGGGTTTGGGAGTGAATGTAAGGTGTAAAGCATCCTACCCTAGCTTCCTCTGCCATGAGTATCAGTAAAAGATTTGATCTTTGCTCGACAAATCGGAATCTGAAGAAGGGGTTTGGATGTGGTTCTCGGCTTTCTGGTTCAATAGTGTTAATTTAGCCACACCCACACACTGCAAAATTATGGGGTGAGTTTCGAAAGTAATAACAACATTTGGGGTACTTTAGAAATTACATATGTTAAGACGGAAGAGTAGTTCAGAAGTTATATGGTGAAATTTTAAAGAATTAATAATATGTAGGTCGAATAGTGAATTATTAAGATATTTGGGGTATTTTCGAGTTTCCATATATTTAAAGCTCCATTATTAATGAATTTCTGGTTGTTTTCTATTTTGGTCGTTCCCGGCAAATTTGGCTGAAGTCACTAAATTTCGCCGGCAAAGATTCGAACTTTGCCAAATGATGCAAGCAGCAGCGGCGGCGTCGAATGTTCCGGTGATATGGAATCTCTCGCTGCGTGGGTCATCCTCCAAAGTCCATATACTGAACCCTAAGAATCAAAAGTGTCACGCTCTTCACTGTTTGAGGTTGATTTCGAGTTTCGTCTCGTTTGATTTCTCTTTCTAATCTTACTTGACACGAATTCGTCAAGTTAATAGTATCATTGCTTATCTTTTAGTCATTTACAATTGATTTTACAAATGTGGATTATAATTTCATGAAATCGTTGTGTATCTAGAGTGAACCTTTGGGTTGTGTTGAAAAATGGATTTTTTTTTTCTTTCTCTTCAACTGAACTAGATTTTTTTCACTCCAGATCAGAAGGGCATGAAGATTTGGAGAATTCTCAGGTGCTTTTATTTGGTTTGAAGTATGTTAATCTCCTATGATTTGCTTGCATAAATAATGTAATTGCTAACTTTACAGGAAAATATTGGACTACCTTCTGTTACAAAAGAAGCAAAACAAAAGGATATATGGAACCTTTTTAGAGAAGCTCAACAAAGTAAATAAATTTGGATGTCATTAGTTTTGGTTTTATATTCTGGAAAGATAATAACTTACTGATTGTATTGTCGTTGTTGTGTGTTTAGATATCCTGTTCTTAAACAAGCAACGCGTAGCTGCAGTTGAGGAGCTGGAGAAGCTGAAGAAGGAGAAATATGAATTATTAGAAAGGATAAACCAGTTGGAGGAAGAAAGTCAGATTGTTATCAAGAAAGGTTCTGTTTTTCTTTTTTCTGCAAGTCATGCTTTGATGATTCATAAATATGTTTCTGAATTGATATTTCCATGTATGTATAAGTAGATAAGTCGTCTCTATTATGGGAGCTGCTTCTCCATATTGATGCTATGGTGATCAATGGATTAATGAACATTGAAGAAGCTTCATCCATGAGGAAATTGATTAAGGAGCATGAAGTGAACATCTCCGAGTTTCCCCTTGATGTCCTGCAACAAGGAGATGCCAAAATTCTAGCAGAGCTCAGACGGTTCCCACATAAAATCAAAAGGTGCAAATTCTAGTGTGCTTTATTTTCAAACTCAAGTCAGAGTCTGAGTTTCTATTTATGTTTTGACTTCTATTTGCCATTTGATTCCAGGAATGGTCTCCATGTGATTCATATATGCACCGAAATGGCTCCACTAGTTTCTGTTGGACCTTTGGCCTCATATATCACAGGACTCGCTTCTGCACTCCAAGGAAAGGGCTACTTGGTTGAAGTTATATTGCCAAAGTATGAGTCAAATTCTTTGGTCAAATATATACTTTCAGCAACGTTATTGTGTGAAGCAGAATCCTATTAATGAATACTGTATTCATTAATAGATATTCTACACTTGATTTGGACGAAATTGAAGGGCTCCGGGAAATCGAAGCTGATGCATATTCTTATTTTAATGGTCAGCTGCATGCAAACCGAATATGGAATGGGTGAGTGAGTTGTTGGAGTTTAGTTTTCTTATTTTGCTGATAATTTTTTTTTGGAAGAGAAGAATCAGCAAAATACTGTCAAAAATTCCGTTTTCTTCCTCAATTTACGGCAAGCAGAACCTTGTTTATGCAGAGTTGTCTCTGGAATAGGAGTGACGCTTATTCAACCACTGTATTACTCGTCAATGTTTAGCCGTGACAAAGTATATGGCTATACGGACGATTTTGATAGGTCAGTATTTCAGTTTGATATAATTGAGCTTGAATCTTCATTTGCTTTTAGACTGGTTTGGTTCATATGTGAGGTTGTTTTACCCTGTTAACAAAGTCAGGTTTGCATACTTCTCTCGTGCTTCATTGGATTACATTGCAAAGTCTGGAAAGCAGCCTGATGTGTTACATATTCACAACTGGCAAACTGCAATAGTTGGACCTCTGTTTTGGGATGTTTTCGTAAACCAGGTAAAGAACTCTTCAAACTTCAACTGTTCAACATTCGTTTAACGACCACCATTGCAGTAGTACTAGTTATCTTATTGCCAACTCTCTGCAAATTACTGTAGGGACTTGAAGGTACTAGAATACTCTTGACGTGCCAAGACTTTGATAAGGCAAGCCACTTTGCTTTTCCCTTAATACTTATACATTTTACATTGACAAAATAGATTAAGAACTGCCTGTGCTTTTAAGGGTCTTGCGCCTCCTGAAAAATTGGAGCTATGTGGGCTAGATCCAGCTGAGCTACATCGTCTTGATCGCTTACAAGATAACAAAAACCCACATTTTGTAAATATTTTGAAGGTAAATGTGGAAGGAAGATACAAAAGAATAATCTCTAAGTTACATTCTGGTTATCACATTTCTTTACTTTGTCCATTACTTAGGGTGGTGTGGTCTACTCCAACAAAGTTGTAATAATGTCATCCTCACGTAGCTCAATCCCTGGTCTCGAACCAACATTAGCCATTCACAAGTAAGTAACTGACACTTTTGAGTAAGGGATCTCAATACATCAATCACGGTGTATAACAATTGCATCCTCCTCTCTGAAAATCTAGGGACAAGTTGGTTTTATCTCCGTTTGGACTGGAAAACCCAATGGAGAAAGACTTGTGTTGTGACCTTCACGTCTCTGCATATACTTCCATCAAGAACCTCTGAAACTAGTAAGAAACAAGATGGTGAACATATTACATTATTTATCATATTTTTCACACAAATAAAATTAAACTATTGTGTACATTGTCAAGAGGCCAAGTAAGAAAATTGTTGTGTCCATGTGTTTAGTCAAATCGGTTGTATCTTTGATTTGTTTTTCCAACTAACATTTTGACTCCTGAGTGAATTACAAATAGGTTTTAATTATTTTTTTATTTGTTTTTGTCGTCACAAATAGGTTTTATTTATGTTAAGATTAAAAACAAAAAAGGAAATTGCAACTTTTCTTTGGATCAAAAGGAAATATTTATAACCTTTTTTCCATAATTCTGTTGATAAAAAAAAGGAAAATCAGAAACCGTAAGTAGAAGAAGATATTGCTGGGAATTAATTTAATTATCTGAAAAAGTGATAAATAGAATTAAATCCGGATAATGAGAGAGTTCGAAAATCATAGTTGGTTGCATAAGTAAAAGAATATACCCAAATCAAAACAGGAATCAGATTCATATAGAGAGAGAGAGAGAGAGAGCTCTCTGTATATATCAAAATCAATTTGTTCCTTCTTTAGTAAAGGAAAACAGAGTGTGAAATTGAATCTGACAGCGAGAAAGAGATAATGACGAAAGTTGGCCTGAGAGATTCTCCGGCTAAAGAAACAGCTTCGACGACGACGGCGCCGCCGACAAAAAAACGATTTTTGACTCCGGGAAGGTAAAAAAGTCAGCAATTCTGTTTTTTTCGTTGGTGGGTTTTTGAAGACGATTACGATGATGACGATTATGATCTCTCTCTCTCTCTTTGTGGTCTGTGAACACGATTTAAGCGTGTTTGTGTGAAAAAGACAAAAATTATGAATTGGGTGTGTTTCGATTTCCAAAAAGTAAGGCAAGAATTTCGTGATATGAAAACTTTTAGGGTTGTGTCATGTTTTGGGAAGATTTCGTCTTGGTTTCCTATATTGAATTTTGACCTAGTTTTGTTTGTTTTGATTATTAACTCTTGACGACGGCTTTTATTTGTTGTAGATTCGTTACAATTTTATGTATCATTAACTTGATCAATTACGTGGATCGAGGAGTGATCGCGAGTAATGGTGTTAACGGAAGCTCAAAAACATGCGATGCCAAAGGTGTTTGCTCTGCAGGAACTGGAATTCAGTAAGTCTTTTGCTTTTTTCTAACTTCCTGGTTCTGAGTTTGATTGATTGTGATTCTGAGAAAGACTTGAACCTTTGTTTTTTTGGTGTTGATGCAGGGGAGAATTTAGCTTATCCAACTTTGAGGATGGTCTTTTGTCATCTGCGTTTATGGTTGGACTTCTTGTTGCTTCTCCAATATTCGCTGGATTGTCCAAAAGGTTGAATTTTTATAAACAGGAGAGTTTGATTTTAGGTGTATTACTTTAAGAGTCATTGTTTTGATTATCTCTGTCTTTCTGTTATTGCTTGCAGAGTTAATCCTTTTAAACTAATCGGTGTCGGCTTAACGGTTTGGACGATTGCTGCTCTTGGTTGCGGGTTTTCCTACAACTTCTGGATGATTGCTGTTTTTCGAATGTTAGTATTTATTTCTTATTACCCGCCTTTTCAGTCCGGTTTTTGTATATTTACTAACAGTATTTTCTTTCATAACTTTCCTATAGGTTTGTTGGAGTTGGTGAGGCTTCGTTTATAAGTCTTGCAGCACCCTATATTGATGATAGCGCACCTGTTGAAAGGGTCAGTTTTCAATTTGGCTGCTGAAACTGTTACAATTTTTTGCTATTTTACTCACCTAACTTGTTGATTTTGTGTCTTTCTCTCCAGAAAAATTTCTGGCTTGGACTGTTCTACATGTGTATACCTGCCGGAGTTGCTCTAGGCTATGTGTTTGGTGGATACGTAAGTTTTATGCTGAACTCTTTTTCTGGGTCAAAGTTTTCTGCCTCTGGGGAAATATATGTTTATATTTTATTTGATTTCCCTGATTAGATTGGAAACCATTTGGGCTGGCGTTGGGCGTTCTACATTGAGGCAATCGCAATGGCTATCTTTGTCGTTTTGTCCTTCTGTATCAAACCACCGCATCAGCTAAAAGGTGATACTAGATGCCTTTTAATCTTAAGTATATAAATCCTTTTTGAAGTTGTGCCAGACTGCCAGTTTTTATTAAATTTTCTTCTTCGTTGTGTATAGGTTTTGCTGATAAAGGTTTGAAGAAACCCTCTACATCTGTTGAAACAGTAGCTCTTACAGATGCAGAAGCTTCAAAAATTAAAACCAAAACTCCTAAGTGAGTTTCTCTACCTTCTCTCCATTGTTCTGATCTATGCAAAAGACAACTATGCATACTGATATCCTCCTCTTTTTTTCTGGGCAGATCAAAGAACCTGTTTGTCGTATTTGGAAGAGACTTGAAGGCTCTTTTCAGCGAGAAAGTATTTATCGTAAATGTTCTTGGTTACATCACCTACAACTTTGTGATTGGAGCTTACTCATATTGGGGACCAAAAGCTGGTTTTGGTATCTACCAAATGAAAAACGCAGACATGATTTTTGGAGGACTTACAATCATCTGCGGGATAATTGGAACATTAGGTGGGAGCTATGTGCTTGATCGCATAACCGCTACACTTCCAAACACCTTCAAGGTACAACGAAATTCATTTAATTACAATGAATGATTATCATCTTTTTTCTGACTACCTCTTAATTAATCGTTTATACAGTTACTAGCTGCATCAACTTTACTCGGTGCTGCGTTTTGTTTCGTTGCTTTCTTGATGAAGAACATGTATGCCTTCATTGGTTTATTCGCACTGGGAGAAATTCTAATCTTTGCACCACAGGTAATAATTAACGATATTCTTGAAAGAGTTATAAGACAAAGCTAAACTCTGTTTCATTTTCTGACGAACAACATCTGTTTTTTTTTTCCCTCTTTATGCAGGCTCCAGTTAACTATGTGTGTCTCCATTGCGTTAGACCAAACTTGAGACCACTATCAATGGCTACTTCAACTGTTTTGATCCATATCCTAGGCGATGTTCCTTCTTCTCCACTTTATGGAAAAATGCAGGTTTGCATTTGTTTTGATTAATGACTACACAAAGATTTTAATTCACTTTTTTAGAGTTAGAAATTTTGTTATTAACTCTCTGTCTCAATGCTTTTATGCTTTTGCAGGATCGTCTCAAAAATTGGAGAAAATCAACTCTTATCATTACTTCAATCCTCTTCCTCGCAGCTATTATTTGGGGACTTGGTAAGGACTCAAATTTTTGTTTTCTTTCTACTCATCTCATAATCTTTTTGTCTGTTATCTTAAGTAAATTTGTTTGTAGGGATATTTATGAATAGTGTGGACCGGTCTAATGAAGTAAGTGAAGATGATGAGGTCGTAGAAGAAGAGAAATTGGAAAGCAAAGCAGACAACTCTCCTCTCGTCTAATTTTTGAAGACATTTTATCATTTTTTTTTTCTTTTACACACGACCAAATAATTCTAATCTCTACACAACAATTCATTTCATTCAATTTTCTCTTCCTTTAGATTCTCAGTTTCTTTTGTGTACATAAACCTAATTTTTTTGGAATAAATTTTTGTTGTTTATTCCTATTATTCTTTCAGATTATTTTAATAAAGGTGTTTAAGCTACATCTTAGTTATACAATATTTGCTTCCTAAATTTGGCTTCTAAGTTTTTTGTGTTCTATGTTAAAAGCTGATTTAACTAAAACATGTTGAAATATTTCCAAACTTTTACAATCATGGAAGAAGGAAAGAATTGATCTCATTTCAGTTTGAAACAATAGGAACAAATAAGTCAATGAGCCACCAAACAAATTGTGTTTTTCAATGACATCTGTCTACTAATATTTTTTGAGTTCTTTTAGATTTAATATTTTTGCAGAAGTATCTCATTAAAAAATAATGGGGGAATCTTGAAACAAAAAAAAGAAATATATATGAAGTTGTCTTATTTTGAAACAAAGGTTTGTTTGTATTCATCATCATCATCATCACTTAGAAGTTAGGACCAGCTGCAAGAATCTCTTCAGTCAAGTTTCCATCATCACCAATCTTATGACTTGTGAATGTCTCAAAATTGTTTTTAAACAAGCCAGCCAGTTTCAACAATGTGTCCTGATATGCATCTTTGTCTTTCCACTGCAACAAACACACATAAACCATAAATGTCAACTCATAAACCAAAAAAACGTCGAGTTTTTAGAAATGGCCTGTCTGAACTTACTGCATTGATAGGTTCCAGAATTTCAGAAGGAACTCCTTCAACTTCATCTGGAATTTCCAAACCAAAGATATCTGTTTTCCGGTAAGTTGCTTTCAAGAGACTACCCGAATGTATAGCATCAATGATCTTTCGTGTATACGCCAACTTGATTCGGCTTCCAGATCCATAGCTGCAAATTTTATTACCAATCTTGTTAAACACTTGTAGTTTTGTTTTGGTGTTATAGTTGAGAACCAGTTCAAAGATGGTTTTTACCTTCCACCGGACCAGCCGGTGTTAACAAGCCAACCGGTGGCTCCTTGGGCCTGCATTTTCTCGGCTAGCATAGCAGCGTACTTGGTCGGGTGAAGCATAATGAAAGCAGCACCAAAACAAGCTGAGAAAGTAGCTCTAGGCTCTTTAACTCCTTCCTCTGTTCCCGCAACCTGAAAAAATCACTCTCTCATCATCAGGCATCGGTTACAAGACAACCGAACCAAACCAAACCAAACAAAACCGGGACTTACGAGAGCAGTGTAGCCACTGATGAAATGGTACATAGTCTGAGCGAGATTGAGCTTGCTAATTGGCGGCAACACACCGAAGGCGTCACAAGCCAATAGGATCACGTTCTTCGGGTGTGGCCCTACGCACGGTATCTTCGAGTTCGGGATGTACTCTATTGGATAAGCCGCACGTGTGTTCTCTGTCACTGATTTGTCACTGTAGTCCACTTCTCGTGTATGCTCATCAAACACAACATTCTCCAAAACTGTCTCACAAAACCAAGAAAACATTTATCAAACATGAAGATGCTATTTTGTAACATTGTAAAGGTAAAGATAGAAGAAGAGGTTATGTTTACCGGTTCCAAACTTGATAGCATTCCAGATATCAGGCTCTTTCTCCCTCGCCAAATCAATGCATTTCGCGTAACAACCACCTTCGATATTTGAAACTCCGGTCTCACTCCAACAATGCTCATCATCTCCGATTAAATACCGGTTATGATCAGTGGACAATGTAGTCTTTCCGGTCCCAGAGAGTCCGAAAAAGAGAGCAACATCTCCATCTTTGCCCATGTTACAACCAGAGTGAAGTGACAAAATCTTTCTCTTAGGCATCAAATAATGCATCACACCAAAGAGTCCTTTCTTCATCTCTCCAGCATATTGTGTGCCTAGAATCACCATCTCTCTTCTTGCTAGGTTGATGTCCACACTCGTCGAAGATGTCATGTAATGAGTGAAACGGTTACACGGGAATTTCCCCGCGTTGTAAATCGTGAAATCGGGTGTCCCGAAATTCTCTAGCTCCTCAGGTGTTGGACGGATACACATGTTGTGCATGAAAAGTGAATGGTAAGCTCTTGCTGAAACAATTCTCACTTTGAGTCTGTTCTCAGGGTCCCAATTTAGGAATTGGTCATTCACAAACACCTGAGAGGAATAAAATAAACAGGCTTTAATAAATAGTCTATATAAAATCCAACTACTACAATCTCATTTCGTATGTCTATGTTAAGTTACCTTGTCCAAAGAGTTTAAGTAGTCAACAGCTCTCTCTCGGTTCACCAAAAAAGTTTGTTCATCCATTTCGATGTTTGGTGATCCTCTGTAATAAACATTATATATATGACATTTTATATTAGAAGTGAGTAATAATAAATTAGCCAATATGTTAATGTATGTGTCTATTAGGGGGGGAAAATAAACTAAGTGAATAGCACATTTGCTGTCATTTGTAAATGCAGGGGGACTTACTTTCCCCACCAGAGCTCGGCCGCAGTGGTCTCATCCTTAACCACACGCTTGTCTTTAGGAGAACGACCGGTTTTGGCTCCCGATAACGTAGCCAACGCACCGGTAGATGTCACAAAGGATCCTTTTTCATATTTGATAGCCTGCTCGTACAGCTCTGCATTTATAAGGTGATATGTTTTTTTTTACTTAGAAACATGCAACAAAATCAGATATTGGTCCTTGAATAAGAAATGGTGGGGTTTTAGGGGGTGTTACCGGCAGGGGAGAGGTTGTGAAGGACGTGGGTGAACTTCAAGCCGCTGTCGCTGACGTCAGCAGCCGGAACTGACGTAGGAGTATGTGGCACGTGTGCCACTTTCGCCGCAGTCGCCGGATCTCCTCTAATCAGCTTCGGTCCTGTCTCTCTCGTCAACGAAGCCAACGATGCACTGTCCATTCCACCAAATTATACACTCGTATCATTGTTTTCTCTAAATTCATTTGTTTTTTGTATGACTAAATTACAATATACATAACATTAAATAAATAAAATACAATATACAAAATACATGCATGCAAAACTAAAAAAAATAATCATAACCATAAATCACGATTCCTTGTAATTTATATACTGTATTGTGATTGGTTAAAAAAATGCGTAGATGGCAAGCATAGATATGGCATGATAATTAGACCTTGTGCCATATTAATAACATATCATATACCTGACAGATTGAAGCATGCTCTCGCCGGAGACAGGAGTGGTCGGTCCGCTTGTTCCGGTGAGTCCGTTGGCATTCGCATTTGTAAGAGGAGTGGTCGGGGCAGATCGTTTCTTCTGGAGACTATGAAGCTCGTCGATGGTCTGAAAGTTGACCCTCGGTGCGGTGTCGTCCTGGCACACCTCTCTCGGCGTCGGAGCTTTGGCTCCCTTCTCAGTCGTGATCCTCGGAAGCGCATCACGCGCCGCCGCAGCCGAGAAACTGAAGTCTCCACTTGTATTCTCGTTTCCGTTTCCCGCCATTTTCCCGCTAACTTTGGATAACTAACATCAAAACACACACGATTAACACATATACACGTATATATGAATCTAAAGAGATGTATGTAGAACAATGTGTTAGTACCCAAAAATTGTGTTTCTTCTTCTTTAGCTTTGTGGGAAAAAAAAAAGATAAAATGTATAAATACGAAAAAACAAACAAAAATGTGTCTCAAAGGAGAGATCAATGGCTGTGCTGGGGAAGAGGCAGGAGAGGCCACTTTTATAGGCTTCCTTTTTGACTCAGTTTCTTCTTCTTTTCATCAAATAACGCGTTTTAGATTTAACTCTCACCAACTGTAATTTGTCTATAATAGAATGATGATAATTACGTTACTCATTTATAGAAATGTTTATCATATATTGGAGATTTTGTAGACAATACTTTTTAAATGTTATGTGGATAATGCTACCAATTAGTCCACTATATATGATAATTAGATGACTAGGCATTACGTTTGATTTAGACACATTTAGCAATTACTAATTATGTAGTTACTTGTGAGCACATGGGTAGATCAATTTGCATTATACATGTTGTCCAATCACCGATGGATGAGACTATTAGAGTCTAGTATTCATGTCTTCACGTTTACTATTAAGAAACAAATCCAATAATATTCAACTAATTACGGCAACACTTTTTTTATAAGAAGTTTCATGTCATTTTCCTAAATCTTATCCGACATATTATTTATATATATTAAAGCAAGTTTTTTTTCTCTCTCTAACCAAACGTGCGTACATTTTGTCTCTAATATATGTACATGTTTTTCATATATAAAATACAAGTTTGTAATAAAAATATGAATTTAGCCTGATTAATATATATTAAATGTTGATGTCTTATAATATTTTATATATTTAATACGGTAAATCAAAGGGAAATTAAAGACTATCAGTCAAAATTAGCATCATTATATAGCTGTGTTTAAAAATTTTATTTTTTATAAGTAAATAGTTCTCCTTATAAAAAGTCCACCGCCAAGTAAAGAAAAACATATTTTGGTTGTTTGTTTTAAGTCGCGAAAGGTCAAATAAGAGTTTAATTGGGTTTTACGATCTGCTAATCTAATGTATATATCATGTATGACATATACTTTGCATTTAAATTGTAAATGTGTGTACTATAGTCTATAATTTATGTTGCTAGTTGCAAATCACAAGTTATTAATCAATCAATAAACAAAGTTTAGAAATAAAATCCTTGATTTATTATATATTAAAGAAAGGTAGATAATAGATCATCCAACGTGGGCTGTAGTAAAAGGAAGCATAACTTGAAGATTAGATAAAATTAATTATAATTAAGTAATTAACCTTATGGAAAGCCAAGTGTCAGTATGCTGATCTGGACCGTTGATTGTTAGGGGACGGCGATCGTAAGGTCAATGTTCGACAGCTTTCCGCACATCAGAACCACGTCAGCTGCCTTATCTCTGCGCCGCGATACGAGTAATGTAAAGGACACGTACACCTTTTTAGACTTTAGAGTTGACCTAACAAACTGATCAAATCTCATAATTTTATTATTAAATAATAAATTTAATAACTTCGGTGATTAACGTGCAAGGCCATAACTTAAACTATTTGGGCTTTAAGCCCATTATCTCTTATTATGGACTTTTCTTTGTAGAGTTAAAGGTAATCTTATTTGTGGGTCTTTTTTGTTTCGCGCCACGAACGGTGAAGGCTTTAATTTGGGGAAAGGCCATAAATACCGGGCTTACACGTACATTGTCCCTAACGAACTTTAATCCCACGAAGCTATAACATAATTATCAAAATTAAAAAAAAAAACTCGAAAATACAGTACAAAAATGCCCTAATTTATACGTTTTTCAAAGTTGGGTCTCTTGTGTTTTTTAGACTACTTTGATATAAGAATTTTTTTATTTAACATATATAGATTTTAACCTAAACAAAACAGAAGTAATAATAATTTCCCCCCTTTTATATTAGTTGAAACTAAACATGATCGTATGCAAAAATGCAATTGAGTGATGGAGGATAGATTGAAGTTTTGATTTGACCATATAAGTTCGAGATTCTTCGGCCACTGAGAGCATTTTAGAAAACATATCCGAGTAGTGGACCTTTGACAATATGTTTGATCATTAATAACACATAAATCATTGCCTTAAAAACAATTGCAACTTGGTGCTAGCTACTACGTTCATATATAGTTTAAACTTTAAAGTGACAAGAACTAAAGAAGCATTGCAACATTCCCAAGTGGCGCATGACCACCGACCCAACGGATGTCACCAACAACCCCAAATCCACATGCCCGTGCCCCACGCACTAATATAAATCCTCCAAACCCGGTGCAACCAACAACACCGTGAAAATAGGCTCGTAGCCTGGTACGTATCCCAATCAAGATCCGTTATATATATATATATATATATTAGAATAAAACAACCTGGAAATACACTTTTTATGGTATCCTACTAAGTTTTCTATTAACAAAATAGACTATAATGATGATCACATGACTAATCATGATCATTCGTATGAAAAAGATATAAAAAGTACTAACCATTTAAGCTTAAACGGCATGATAATATAAACTAAGTAGAAGTTAACTTTTGATTTTGAAGTCCAGCATTATAAAGCACACTCTAATCCACTATAACTCCCTTTTCTATAAAAAAACATTTTCATTAATTTTATCTACAAAACTTTTTTTTTTATATAGCTTTTCAGTCATTAATAATTGGATTTTCTGAAGATTACAAAAAGGAAAAGGATAAAATACAAAAAAAACTAAAAAGACCAATTAATTCTCTCATGTAGGCAGGGGTCCCAATCTCACTCTGCATAACAAAAGGCCACACCCGTCGGCTACTGCTTGTCGCTATCATGCACCTAAGGACGAAGCCTGTCCTTTTCTAAATCATAATACTTCTCTATTATTTTTACTTATAATTATTGTTCTTTTTTTTTAATATCATTCTATATACCAAATAGATATATATTCAAAAATCATTGAAATGGAATTATAGAAAAGAAAAAGAAAAAAAAAAACTTTAAAATCTGGCATTTTCCAAGCCGTGCATATCGCTGACTCGATTTAAATGCTTCCTCATGATAGCCACTTTTGCCAACTTCTCTGCGGCTCTCCAAGCCGAAGTCGGCGTTAGCTGCTCCGGTTTCTCTTCTGCTCGGTTTACTATACCATTTCTCGGTTTAATCCGGCTCAGCTCACCTAACTCAGCCTCTAAGCTCCTTAAACAATCATCCGTATGGGTTACGTTGGACCGAGCCGTCGTTAGAACCTGATACGCTCCAGCTAAATCTTCACGCTCTATAAGTCTACGTGAATCAGCTACTGCGCGGCACACCGAGTGTATATTCCTCAGCCGTTCGATGCTCGAAGATACGAATCTGACCGACTCTGGCCGTGGGATCAGAAATCGTTTCTCTTTTGGACACGTCATCGGCTGATGTGTCATGGGGTCAACGATCGTAGACTGTACGGACATTACATGGTGGGAACCACTCGACGAAGTCGGCACTTTGAGCTCAACGAGAAACTCTCTCTCCTCCTCCGCGAACATATCTCCGACCACCACCACCGAACCGGATCCGAAACTCTCGGGTCGACCCGTCGTTGAGTAAACCGATGAAATCTCAGTCAAAGGTGATCCGTTGACTAATCCTAGATTAAGCTTCACGTCATGGAGAGCCACGTTGAGCAACGAAGCTATACGCTCCGTGAACGCGTCTCGAAGCGGCGCGTGATGCAACGCTCCTGGAGAAGCGATGTATACGGAATGCACCGGGATCTCCGGCCGAGAGAAGCGCGTGGTCGAAACGACGAAAGGCACCCGCGTTGAGTTTAGTTTGGCTTTCAAAACAGCCTCCGGTTGATCCTGACCGTCCGATAAAACGAAGATGCTCGCCGATGGATTCTTCTCCCTTCGATCTTCAACGACTTTAACCGCTTTTTTCAACGCATCGTTAACGCTCATTCCTACACCGCCGGTGCTTTCAATTCCGACGAGTGCGTCGACCATCCGCCGCGCTGATCTTCTTCCTTTGGCCGTCATCCGTCGTAACGGCATTAACCGTTTTGATCCTGTCGAGAAAACGACGATTGATAACCGATCCATCTCTCGGAGCAAAGAGATCACCGATCGCATTGCGTGCTTCACCGTTTGCAAATTAGCTCCGTTGTTGCTCAAATCGAGAACCGTTACCAAATCTATCGACGGCCTTCGTGCTTTCATCGCGTCTGTGATCGAAGACGGCGACGTCGAAGCTTTCAGTTTCATAACGACGACGTGTGTCTCCTTCCTCTTCTCGGTTTCCACAACTGCGGATTCAGGTTGCAACCTGACTTCCAGGTTCCCGGAGATTGAAGGAGTCGGATCAGTCAAAGAAGGCGCAACTGAAGAATCGGCGAAGAATCCGGGGAATTCATCGTCATCGTCAACGTCGTCGTTTTCGTCGGATTCATGAATAGTGTTGATCTGAGCAAGAGAAACTGGTGAATAAGCTAACGGCTCATCGTCGTTGTAAACTCTCAGAGATTTTCCTGTCTTGATTTCTCGGATCTCGGGTCGTCTATTCGGGTCGGATCCGAAGTTATTAGTGAGAGCGGTAGTAGAATTCGACTTGGGCGTGTGATTCCACGCGGCGGAGCAAAACGGACAACGCTTGTCTTCTAATCTAACGGCACAAGAGAGGTGAAAGGAATGTGAACACTCAGCCGTGAAAATCGCCGCCGTCGAATTGGTTTGGTTTGAGTTCACTCTTTGCAAACAAATCCCACATCTGCTACTATTACTCTGTAAACCATACACCAAACAAAACAAAACAAAAACAGAGCTTTAGACTAATTGAACTGATTATAACCAATTAAGCTCGCAAAAACAAGTAAGAACCTTGTTGAGAAGAAGCGTGGCACGGAGGAGAGAGACGCCGCCGTGAGAGGAAGAAGAAGAAGATGATGATTTAGGAGAAGAAGGGTTAGAGAAAAACTTGGGACTAGAGCTGTTACTTGTCCTTGGAGTAGCATTGCTTGTGGTCCTGCAGTGGAGTCTTGGACTAGTTGGAAGAGATGGGATAGTGACAGCGGTGGAAGCAGAGGAGCGGCATCCGGTGCCAGCACCACGAGATCGGAGACGTGGAGTTGAAGGGTTGGATAAAAATCCAAACTTTGATCGGAATCTTGGAGTGGGAATAGGAGGATCAGTGTGTAATGACGATGATGGTTGTTGTTTAGGTTTATCTTGATTACTTGGAACGGAAGTGCAAAACGCTCTTCTCCAACCAAACACCATTTCCAGCCTCAAAAAGAAAAAGACTTTTTTGCTTCTTCTGATTCCTTCTTCGTCTGCTTCAATTTGTGGAAGTAATAATTATAGACAAGGAGACGAAGAAGAAGAAGAAGGACTTTGGGGTATGTATGGGATCATAAGGAAGATGGAGAAATTAAATACTAAGATAAAGACTTAGAGAGAGAGAGATATTGTTTCTTTTTTTTTTTAGTGATGCGGTTTGATATTTGATACTATTTTAATTGTAGCAAATATTATAAGGTAAAAAAAAGGGGGTTTTGATTTTAAAGGATGTTTTTTTAAAAATTTGTCCTTTTATACTTTCTGCGATAAATTGTCAGTTATACCTAAATTAACCTTTTAAATAAATAAAATTAATTTTTAATTAATTTTTAAATTAAAACATATCAACAATTAAAGATTAATAAGATTTAATATTAAACAAAAGAGTTTTGGATGAAAGTATGTTGATTTTGATATTGAAAAAATCATTATGCAATATTTAGAATACATCTTCTGTATTCTAAATATTTTAGATTATGAATTCTGCACACTCTACATGTTCTAAAAATTGTAGATTACAAATTCTTCGCATTGCACTTGTTCTGAAAATTTTAGAATATATATATCTTCTAAAAAAATTAGAACTCAGGTTTGGTTGGTGTTCTACAAATTTTAGAATTTATTTTCTACACTTTACCCTATATTCTGCAAAAGTTAGATCATCAATTCTACACTTTACTCTTCGTTCTTCATATTTTAGAAAATGTATTCTACGAATTTTTAGAACTATCTTATACAAGGAAATTGAATCCTAAATTAAAAGAAACAAAATATTTTGTATTCCCTAATATCTAGAAATCATATATTTTTATTTTGAGTGAACGTTAGGTGTATATACAGTCCTTGAGTTTGACCAAAAATTAAAAACTAACAATATCAAAGAGCTAGTCTCAAACAATCTTCCTAGTTTAGGTTTGATAATCACGAACAAATGAAGTTTTTATTTTTCAGAAAATTTTGACATCGTCGAGTCTATCTTTGGTTTTTTTTACCTTTTTACAATATTAAATGAGAAGAGTTTTTTTTTTAAAATGAAAAATAATATATGTTTTTGATTTTTTTAGATTTAAGAATATCTTTTTTTTCTTACAGAAAATTTCCTAATTTGATGTTTTTTTTTTTTCAAAAAGTTTGATGTTTATTTCCATATAATTTAAGTAATGATATAATTGAGCATTTTCCTATTCTAAAACCTAATATACCAAACTTAAAAAAAGAAGACATAAATGGACAAATTTAAAAAAAAACATCCTTTAAAATCAATTTTCCCTAAAAAAAAATGTGACTTTATGCGTCTGAAATGGCTTTTGTTTCCATTTGCATGTAAATATTTTTGCCTCGGAAGACAAAAACCATCGCTGAATCACTGATCCTTCTTTACGTACCCTTCTTTCTTCTTTTCCTCTATTTTTTTTTTAGAGTCAAATTTGTTATTTTCTCTTCTTGTATCATTGGGATGGATGATGAAAAGTAAAAGGTCAACGGTATAACCGACCATATGCAAAAATGAGATTTCAATTAACTTAAGACGCGGAGATCTTTGTTTCCAATTTGCATGTAATTTATCATACTTAACAATTACTATATTTTTTGCAATCTTTCTGTATTGTATACTATTCCTCTCTTTGATTTGAATGTTCCACAATGTTCTTTGATTATTTAAATGATGGATTCTTCGAAATGCAAATTATTATGGTAGAGTGAAAGTCAAACTTGTGGCACGTGATATTTAGAATCTGACTGAGCAATAAACGGCAGAGAAGCCTTTTTATTTCGACAACAACAATATATATATATCAAAATGAAAAATTACATTAGATAAATAATCATACAAAAATATGTCGGAATGAGAAATTATTGTTTGAATCTCTGTGTAACTTCTTCATCTACACTTTCCATATATTCGAGTTATCTATCACTATAAGTTGATTGAGATATATTCTTTTGGATAACCTTTACATTATTACATGCTGACTAGATGGATGAATTTCAACTTACAAATTTTGGACTTGGGATTACATACATTATACTAGCCCTGGGCACGAAGCGAATATTCGAAAAATTTGTGATATTTGTGATTTGCTTCGCTTCGACCGAATAGTTGATTTTGCTATTTGCTTCGCTTCGTAAATTTTCGAGTATTCGGAACTTCGAATATTCGAATATTTTTCGTAATATTTGCGAATTACTTGCTTCGCTTCGCTTCGACCCATCTAATTTTTTTTTTTAAACTAAAAACATATAATACACAAATATAAAGTGCAAAATATGAGATATTAGAGGTTCTTGTTTGACATGTTTTCAAAATAAGAAGAAAATGTAACTACCGTCCATAGAATTCTCACATTTTATTTTTAATATTGATTTTTCTATAAAGTTTTATTTGCTTAACAACAACATTTAGCAAAAAAAACCAACGGACCAAAATATAATAATTTGAATAAAAAGCCTATAAGATATATACCCAAATCTATAAATACACATATTATATATATATATATTATAAAATGATTTATATTAATACATATATATAAATATACGAAGCGAAACGGATATTCGGCACTGAGAAAATCAATATTTGTTATTTGCTTCGGTTTTCACGAATACTACATTTTCATATTTGCTTCGGTTCAATATCTTATAGATATTTGAATTTTTCGAATCGAATCGAAACGAATATCGAATCGAAGCGAATCTAACGAATATTTTGTCCAGGACTGCATTATACATTATGAAGGAAAAGTTTCCATGTTTGATGGAGAAAGATCGAAATGCATACTTTTTCATTTATTTAATTACCAACAAACAATAAAATATATTTTTTTCAAACATTTCGAAACATCCAAGTAATATAATTATACGATGAGGACAAGAGCTAATGATATGACATAAAGATTAGACTGGTCCAGGGCCAGCAAATTTTGAATCCTATAGACATGGTTTTGACTTCGGATAGTACCTTTTTGTTTATTAATTTTTTTTTTTTGATTGGCTAATCAAGTAATGAAGATAATTCTATTGGCTGGTCAAGTGATTAATATAATGCGATTACTAGATCAAAGGTATGTAATAAAACTCGAAAACATAAATGTGGCATTAAGTGTTTTGGAACTATTCTGACGAGCTACATGAATGAATAAAACAATATGGGCTAAGACAAGTGGTAAGGCTAATAATTCTGAAACATAAAACATATCAAATGCATGATTTATAAACACAGAAAAAATGAGTATTCTGTCATTTAAAACATTGAAGTGAGTCAAATACTTAAAATTGCAGTAAAAATTTATATGCTGACAAAGAAAATAAAAAACTACTAGATTATCATGAATTGGTTTATAGGTTAATGTTCATTAGTTACCATGTTTTAGTATTTCTTTTCCTTATTTATTAGTTGCTAGTGTTACGTTGCTATCGTGTATTCCTAAGAATATTAAACTAAATCCAGACAAGTGTTATGCTCGTATGCGCAAAATATCCTCAAACGGCCTAACTATGAGTACGTACGTGCTAAAGGGGTGCTAGATCAAAATTATCATTTGCAAACCGTTTGGTAGGTTTTATGTGGCTGCCATATATTGTTGTGGGAGCACATGACTTCGTGCGTGCATGACATGGGATCATTGATTATCATCCAAATAGAAAATGAAAGAGAAAAAAAAGTATTGAGTTTGTTAATTTAATTTAGTTGGATTTGATTTAACAATTGAAAGACAAATTCTATACGAATTAATTCGGAATTAATTCGAAAACTGTATGGAGGATCTTTGAATGACCTACACAATCACAAATGTACATATACTTGGTCTGTCCGGACAAAATTGCTAATCAAACCTTTCAAAAAACTATTGAGAAAAATAAAAACTTTTAACTAAACAATAATAATGCTGATACGATTTTGTCCATATATAAATAGATCATGACCTCCCTAGTCCCTCCCTCCCATGATTTGATAACTGATAAGAAATCTATGGATACCATCCGTTCGGTGGGTTGTTGAAGAAGGTCTACCAAATCGAAATATACACATTCATTCTCATATATAATTGTACTTTTTTACATTTATCAAGCTTCTATGGTTCTTTGATATTTTGTTTTGGTAACTCCGTAAATTTGATATGTTTTCCTAGAGTTTGAATCTAACCGCATGCAAACACAGTTCATTCAGACAATTCGATGCTCAAGACTCAGTTGAATATCCTTTAAAAGGAAAAAAAAGATTCAGTTGAATAGTTTTACCTAGAAACAGGTGTGTGGAGAGTTTCGATGAATAGAACACTTGATGTATACCTAGAATGTGAAAATTGAGATAATCAAACCACATGTACCTATGTTGATCAGTTTATGTATATTCCATCTCACTCATACGTTTTGTTGGGTTTCTTGTTAAATAACTTTGGGAACCAACCATGATATAGATGAGTGTTAAAGGTAACGCCACGTTCCATTGATGAGATGCATAATTCAGTTCATATCCTTTGGAGACAAATTTGACATGTCATTCCCTATGTCTATTTCATATTTAATTGTATAAACAAAATGAATAAAAACTATATAGTTTTCATATATCGACTTATATAATTATATATATAGTATGTCCCATTCGAAATAAGTGCATCAAAACGAAACGAATTAAATGAGATTCACGACCAATGATTGTTGTTTTATGTGTATACTATTAAGTTCACGTGAAGCTACAAGAATCACACATACTCTCTCATGATAGACTACATGCATCATTTATTTGGGATTAGAGTAACATGACTGATTTAAAAATTCGACCCGTAGATTCTCTTATAATTATATCGATCGAATATATGCTTTGGAATTTGATTAATTAATGTCTCTTTGAAAAAAGGATAGTTGAACATATAACTTTCATTTGGGTGGGGTTTAATCATATGGTTTTGTCAACGCTACGAAAATGATTAAAATGAGCATTAAAATAAATGATATAACACATTTCTTTAATAAAACATTAATAATATGCAAACCACCATTGCCGTTTACCAAAAACCAATGGCGCACTATCACTATGCACTATGCAGCAGCACCCTTCACGAACAGAATGAGAGATTTTATTAGATAACAATTTCTTTCTCAACGATATTATTCGATACTATTAAAGTATATATTGTGTGATTCACTGAGTTTAGAACCGATTGGTTGCAGCAGTTTAAGATATATTTTCACGTGGAAATTGTATATATAATGCTGATGAGTTCATACGCACTCATGATCAGAGAGTAAACATATTTTTATGGAAGGTTAGCAATTTTGACGAAGATATCAAAACCTTTGTTTCGAAAGACTGACTATTCATGTTGGTTTTAAGATCATTCATATTGGTTTAGTTTACTGACAGTTATAGGCAGTTACTTATTTCACGGTCTTGATATTTCATACTATTATAAAGTGTGTTACAATGCAACAATCCACCTCGGTCCTCGAACATGCATTGCAAGTATTTATCCATATATAAGATTGTTTTGCAAATGCACGCACAAAAATGGTACCACTATTTTTATCTTGCAGTTTCAAAACAAATGGTCTCGTAATGATGCAAATGCAGGAAAATCAGAAGACGAGAGATAAGAGTAGAGCGGAGAACAAAACTGTTAATATAATACATATAGACTAAACCGAACTTGAACCCAAAAAAAAAAAAAAAAGACTAAACCGAACTGAACCAAACCAAAATGCTTAAACAAAGTGGAGCGCAGAGTTCGTTTATAAACCGATTGGTTCCGTCAGTTAGGTAACTCAAACTCACAACCAAATCAAACCAGAAGTTTATTAATCCAGACCAAACTAGTTGGTTTTTTATTCGAATTCAGGTTTTACAAACAGTAAAAACAACCGAAAATCAAATCAAAGCCGAATCGTTAAAATCGGACAAGAAACAAAAACATTACATCAAATAATAATAATTCAAATGTAAAAAAGTCAACGAACCACACATATCCAAAACAAACCAAAAACCCGAAACAACGACCAGTTACTGGTTCGAACTAGAGCAACAAAAATTAAGATCATTTTAATTCTTCTTCATCTTCATTTCCTTACAAACGTAGTCTTTACTTACTTCTCTTTTTGCTTTTCAAATCTCAGATACTAAAAGATATCGGTGTTTCCCAATTAAAAAAAACACCACCAAAAGATCGCACATATTTTTTTTTGTATAATTAGAAAGCTTCGGTCATGTTCCATCTTTTTAAGCTCTCATCTTGGATTTCTCCACTGCTCTCGGAGCTGCAGCTGCAACATCACATTAAAGACATTTCAGAATCAAAGAATTAGACCAAGCTCCTCTTAAATAAGAAGAGCCTAATACTGTTATATCTCTGGCGTCCGTTAGCGATTTACATACTTTTACATATTTTGTGTTAACTCCCGAAAGAAAACAAGTGATCAAACATGGTTTTGCAAATTCTAAGTTGGCTCCTAGTTACTTTACCTTACATACAACAAATCACTAATGCATCATACACACACTTCTATTAGCGGATCTTAAGAATAAATTTTAGAGAAAGCAGTTTTGAGTTGTATCTTAAGAGCAGCGGGAGAAGAGAAGATAAAACTTACCTAACCCAATGGCATCACAACCTTTCATTATCTTCAGCTTCTTGCAGACATCAATAAACATCCTGTAATATACATTGGCAGCAAATCACTCAGGAACGCTAATACCAATCACCATGATTTAATCTTCTATTGTATGTAAAATTTGGTTCTTAGATATCTGGCAGAGAGTTTAAAGCTTGTAACAAGTTTTGCAAAATAAGAAAGGAAACTTACTCCCACGGAACATCTCCAACAAGCATCCAATCTCCATCCTTGTCTTCATAAGTGAGCACATAATCTTTTCCATTCAAAAGATCCTTTAGCTTGGTCTCACTAAGCATATCCTTCCCAGCAGCTCCATTAGAACCACATTGACCTAAACATCAAATAAACAGTGCAGGTTAACCACTTTGATTGCAATCACTGATCCACCAATAGAATTTCAAACAAAGATCATCACTAGCAATCACTGAAACATCTCACCAAGAGTGAAAGTGGTGAACATTTTCTCTAAGGCTGAAGAAAGCTCCCCGTAGTTAGTGTAGCTCCTCAGGTCAACTTTCCTCAGATAAGGAGCACCATCCATACTGACCTTCACGAAAAGGGCACCAGCACCTGGCCTCCCATCAACTTCATCACTGTTCTTACAAGTGGTGGCCAATGTGTTCTTCCTGTAGGATCTCACAGGAGGCCAACCGACAATTTGTGCCCTGAAAATTCCAGAAATTAAAAAAACCAGTTAGCAGATGAAAGTAATCCATATCAAAATCTGGTGAATGATCCTATCTTTGCGGTCATACTTGGCAGCAGGTGGACTAGAGCTGTTGTTTGTAGTGCTGGAATGTCCTTTAGGCGTGCTTTGTGGCACATCCTTCTTTGTTACAGACTGAGTGGCTGCAACTTCAGGGAACATCCAGTTCTTCTCAGTATACACAGAACTCTTAGCTTCAGCAAACTGATCCATTGTGTCAGAGAAACCTCTTTTGTTTCCTGAGGCATTGTTTTTCTGTGAGGACGAGCAAATCTCATCTTTAGAAGGAAGCAAAGGAAAGAACGGCTTCTCATCTAGCTTTACTGGGGTCATTAAGTTAAGATCTGTGTCTCTGGCAGGAGATTGTGATCCGGGAAGGCCAAGTGTCAGCTCTGTAGCCTTGAGGCTGATAGTGGCTTTGTCATCATCCGCAAGGCCGGAGAGAGTGGAGCTTCCGACGGAAGATGAACAATCAGAGAGACCCAAGTAGTTATGTTCTTTAAGTCCACCTACTGTGCTTCTGGAGATGCAATTGCTAGTAGGTGAGGAACTTGCCACAGAGACATTGCTCTGTAGCTCCTCTTCCGTAGACATTGGATACTTAAATGTTCCTTAAACTGCAAACCTGGTTACCTGATGATGATTCCACACAACCAAAAAAGAAGTAATCCCCATCAAAATTCACATCTAACAATCATAAATCCTCGAAAAAAAAAACCCTAGATTACTAAAATAACAAATCAGGAAGCCAATTCAATTTCTACCAAAATAAAGAGATAACATAAAAAATCAGGAAGCCAATTCTCACAAGACAGAATCTAGAAAAAACGAAGCTGAACAAAAGAAAAAAATGGAAAGCAAGAAATTAACAACAACAACATCAAAAAAGGAAAAGAAGAAAAGAAGTCAACTCAAGGTCAGTCGAAGAAACAGAACTCGTCAGATACATTTTTTTTTGTCTAGCTGGATCTACAGATTGCACCTTCCCACAATTTCAATCTGTGCACCAACTAAAACCTAGCATAAGAGCTCACAGAATCCAAAATTGGCCATAGAAATAACCTCAGCAGTGAAAGAAAAACCCGAAAAAGAAACCCGATAGCTCGTAGTAGATCTAGTAATTAGCAACACATATTCATACGGAAAGATCTCAAGCTCGGTTACAAACATATAAAGACGAGAGAGGAAACAGATAATACCTCAAAAGAGAAAACAAATCGTAAATGAAAATGGAAGCTTAGAGAGAGGCTTGATCGAAGTTAAGAGTGTCTCAGATATTATTTTAGCAGAGGGAGAGAATAATTTACAAAATTGTAGAAGATGAATAGCAAAGAGATAGAGAATGAGAGAGAGAGAGAGAGAGAGAGAGAGAGAGAGAGAGGTGTGTGTCAAGGTCCTTCCATTAAAACAGAAAAGGGAAAATAAAGCTTAATTATCATCACCCAGAAACTCGTAGCCGAGATCAATTAATTAATTTTTAAAAAAGAGGAAAATTAAAGAGAGTGGCAGAATAGTAAATAAGTGGAGAAAGTTGCGCATATTTTGGAGCTCACGAGGGGATTCTAATCCAACGGCTCAGATTGGATGATTTGGATGGAACGTGAACCGTCGGATTAAAAAAAAAAAAGAAAAGAAAAGAAGGTGTTGGTTGATGTAAGGTGTCGGATCTCTTTCTCTGTAAAACGTTCGTGGCTCCACCCGAAAGGGGATGCTTGTCTCCAAATATTAAATCCCGATTCTATCCTTTTGTATTTAATGACTGATACACCCCTCTTTATAATAGCAAAGCGAATAAAGAATAAAAGGGTAAAAGAGTAAATAGAAGAGTAAATAGGGAAGGGGGGGGACAAGAAAGCGGCATTCCAAGTCGGTTTGCCGGGTGGTGAATGGGACATCTAACCTCCTCCACTCTCTCTCTCTCTCTCTCTCTCTCTCTCCACTTTACTAATCTTATTAATTAAATTTTTTAAAAGTAATGTTTCTAATTTGTAGTTTAAATTCTTCCTAAAATTTCTTTAACTTTCATAATTGCATTTCCTTATCTTTTGCTTTTTTATTTTATTTTTACTTAGATTGGCCCAACTGTATGGGGCCCAATTAGACAAATGTTAGTCACCCAAACTTGAAATACTTTCTTCTCTTTTTTCTTTTTTTTGGGTTCATTAAGTCTTCTAGATACACTAGATGAATGGTTTTTAAAAAAAGAATTTTAAAATGATGATAACTTAATTAAGTGATTTACTTCATCTCTAATAGGGTAACGCCATCCCAAAAAAATGCCTTTAATTATTTAACCCTTTTTTAAAAATTCATTCGGATTTTCACGGTTCCATTGTTCGGAGTCTGGGAAACTATGGATTGTATATTTTAGTATTATATATCATTATCATTCATAATAGGGATGGTAAAATAGAAGTAAAATTTGTGGGTAGGAATGATGTAAATAAAAAGAGAAAAAGGTAAATTGTGTAATGAAAATAAATAAAAGGGAAAGAATTGAAAGAAATGGAAATGGGGGAAGGGAGCATAATAATTTAACAGCAAGTGGGGGGGGGGGTGAAACGAGGGTTGGGAGAGAGAGAGAAGGAAACACGCATGGGAAGCACAAATATCTGACCGTTGGATTTAGAGAGAGAGAGAGAGAGAGAGAGAGAGAGAGAGAGGCCTGTGTGTGTGTGTGTGTGTCCGTTCGTTCATCATCAGCTTCTCTGACTCCTTTTCTCATCATCACTCTTCCGTACCTCTCACGTTTTCTTATTTTCTTTTTTTACCCCTCCTCTCTCTCTCTTTCTCTCTTTTTTCACACCAACATCTCTCTTAATAAAAACTCGAAAAGAACTTTATGCACGAAGAGGCAAACAAAAAATAGTAACACTGTATATATACACCGTCAACAAATTAATACTACTATAGCTTTTCTTTCTTAATATCCCCCGCGTCAAAAGTTTCGCCATGTTTCTTTCTCACATTTTAAATTCAATCATCGCATTATATATAAATCTAGACCCCAAAAAACTTCAACCATCCTAAAATGAACAGTAATTTTGAATGTATATGATAAGAGAAGATTCAAACTCATATCGAATGACGATGACAAATAAAATACTCTTAAACTTAAAAAAAAAAAAAGAATTATCGTCATAAAAAAATAAAAAAATTTGGAGGAGAAAAAATGTAAAGAAATTGGGAGGGGAAAGGAAAAAGGTGTAAATCGGATCGGAGTTCATTAAACTAATATTATTAATAATAAGAGGATAGCCTAAAAATGGGTGGCTAATTAAACACAGTTGATTAGTGTTACAAAAAAAAACAATAAATAAATTAGTGTAATACAAAACAAATGGAAAAAAGTAAACAGAAGAAGTAATAATAAGGTGAGGAGTAGAAAATAGAAATAATGAGGGTTGAGACAAGACAACAGGACCCACGGTGCTTTTTGTCCTTCACGCCTTATTTTAGTCTTCTCTGCCCCTTAAAAACTCATTCCTCATCATCATGCTCCTCCTCCTCCTCCTTCCTCTACAGTCTACACACACCACTACTGCACATACACACTTCTTTAATTAAAGACTAGTATTATTAGTACTATTTTGTCTTTTTAATTAGAGGGGTTGTCTCCATGATAATCAACGACATGACATGTTCCACTGTTCTTTTGGGCCCTGAACTTTACACATTCGCTTTTATACCATATATTATATTTCTGATTGGGCTTTTATTCCAGAATTCACTGTTTCTAACATAGGCCCATAAGTCACCATCCCTTCTTCTTGTTGGGCCAGACCTGTTATATTATAGTATGTACATACATTAACTCTCTCTAGTAAATGTACGTACGTGATATATTTTCTTCGTTAGCCAGTCAGTCATGTTGCTGTCACCGTTTTAATTCTTTATATTTTGAACAACTAATTAACTATTTTCATATTGTTGTATGTTTTTATACGTCTTAGATATATACGGTCAAACGACTATAAACTTAATCGGATTTGTACTAGAAACTTAATCGGATTTGCACAGCAATAAATAAATACTATAAATTTAATTTCAGGAATTCGCGTATAAGACAATGTACCAAGACGTGATCGATCATTTAATATACCGGAGATAGCCATTATAATATATTTGACCCTATGATCAAATACACCTTCGAGTTTTCACATAAAACCTCCCTTAAAATATCTATTCATCCCTCTTCATTAATTTATTACATAAGATAACCGTTTTTAGGATAGACATATATATATATATATCTAGCTGTATATGAATTGGTTGGTTTTAAGAAAAAATTAAACTTATATATAATTAAATAACACCTGTATTTGGGATTAGTACCTATCGCTTTGGGTCTAGGTCTACATCAAACATGGTCCCATACAGCTTTAGTTTTGCTTGTGCAACATGTTTGGATTTTTCTTACTATATAACATAAGGAGAGCTATTAAATGCATATTATTATTAAGTCAATTTCCTCTATTTTTATATCAAAATCTTTCTTGTTTCTTGAATTGATGTCACCGAATCGATATGTATCTTTGATTAGATCGGGAGAAAAGACAGATTTGCGTCGCTCTCAATAACAAAACCGAGCAACATGCTGATTACCTTTGAAATCCTAATTAGTAAACTAAACCGAGCAACATGCTCCATACCTTTGAAATCATGATTAGTTACTAGCTGATATGTGTACTTCATTATTTGATTAAAGATATATTAATTTAACCTTAATTCTTCTGTATCTCTACTCTATATACTACTGTAAAGGATACTTAAAACGTTTTTTGGGTCTTCTTTTGGATAAAAAGGAAACACACCAGACCAGTTGTGATATGAAAATTTAAGTGTAAGTTGTTGGGTTTAGGGTTTTACGAACAATTATAATGGGTAAAACACGTTTTTGTTTTTATTGTCTTGATAGAAAAGCGAAACACAGACACACAAGTTGTGTGATGTGAAAAGTGTAAGATGGGTTTAGTTAGTGGATACATACTCATTGACCCTAAAAAGAAACGGCGGTGACTAATTCAAGACCCATTTACAGTTCACACACATCAAAAGAGATAAGATATTTTTCATATAGATTGATATTTTTGTTGTGATTACAAGTTGAAATAGCAAGTGTAATTCCAAGTAAAAGTATAACTTTTTTTATGCTTTGCATGAAATTATTGCTTGTTGTATTTCAAGTTTGGTTTACGATAATATCATATTTTTTTCGGAGAAAAGATAAGTAAATTTTATAGGTAATCAAGTCTTGATGGATCATTGCACTTACGGGACAGTGGAACGGCTTATACTCCATTTATGTCGATGACGGTCTTTTGCTTCTTCGTTAGTGCTTGACAAGATACAAGCGTTAACGGAGTTGTAACTTGTTACCAAGATTGGTCAGATAGTGTCGTCCTTTCTTTGGTTTAACATTGATCTTTAATTATGCGATCCTAACACTTACATCTATGTGAAAGTCTAACTGATTTATAGATCTAACTGATTTCTAACATTTGTATTAGCCTCCGAATACAAATGTCTTCTAGAGAGGAACAAAAAAAAGGAAAAAAAAAAGTAAAAATTTATAAACTAACTGATTTTTGGCGGTATATATAATTAAAGATGCAAAGACAAAATACAGCTATACCAAAAAAAAAAAATTATAAGTCAGAATCGAAGTAAGAGATTTTTTGTATTTGTCAAATTCGAGTTCCACACGGCAGCTACTAGTAGCTCTTTTTGTTTCTTTTTGCATTAGATTTGTATAGCAGCCGTAAAATCTAACTTAATATTGACTTTAATACTATACATACATTACATGGGTTACTGATACTACTACTGTCCCATGTGACAAAATTTTATATTATACAGTAGTATTTTATATATATATATAGAGCATTCCTTGGTATGTTCAACGATCAAACATGTTACGTTTATTAAATTAAAACACAAATGTTCGCATACACGTCAAAACACTTTGTATAAATAAAATAAGATAAACAAAGAATTCTCAGATCAGCCTTATCATCGATATCTGTACTTTCAGTTGTGAAGTCGTTTAAAAGATGAGTTATGGACCAACATTTTTGTCCCTTAGGAACTCTAAAGGCCAAAGGTCCAACCAAAACTCGAAAACGCTCACAGGTCCATTTTCGTCATTTTAATTCAACCTCGAATTGTTGTTGGTAGTTTTGAGTCGTCGTTATGGTTTTATTTGTTTTTCTCTCTATTTGACAGCCTTTTTATTTTATTTTTTATTTTTCTTTTATTTTTGATATTTATTACTTATAATAAAAGTGTGTGTCGACCCATATTTATCGTAGAGTTTTTTTTTAACTAGAAATTGACAAATTAAAAAGAAGGAAAAAAAAGTTGATACGCATTGCCGGCAAAAGTCCCAAACTTTTGACGTAACTATGTTTCATAGTCATCCGCAAATTTTTTCGAGTTTTTTTCTTGGCTTTTTTGCTATGTAAAATATTTTGTTGGATTAACTTATACTATAGCTTCCGGTTTTTTATGTTATAGCGACCAAGTGGATAATCTAAGAATGAACCACGTCTCAACAGCATCTTAATATTACTACCTTATTCAATCAAAAATCAGTAGATGCATGTCATCTCTTGATTATCGCAACTAAACCTTGTATTTCGTATTCAGCGAACAAAAATATACATATGGAAAAAAAACCAGTAGTACTTTTGTTGAGAAATTTTCAAATCAAGAAATAAAAGTTGGTGATGAGAGGACTTAAAAAATATGAAAATAAAGAGAGCGTATATATGTGAAGGAGACATGGTAGAGAGTAATGTGGGGACTAATTGTCTTGGGGCGGTGTTAGGAACCAAACACAACTCGTCATTCCACATTTATCTGTTTTCATGTTCAACAGCTTCTATCAAAACCTATACACAAGTTAGCAACTAACGAATACAAAAAAAAAAAAAAAAAACTAATGACGTACGTACGATCAAAACGAGTACTACACCTCTACTCGACTTCTCAGCCAATCGTTTACAAATCGGGTGTGCCTGCTAACACGCGCCCACACATAAATCAATGCACATGGACCATGGCCATATTGTTTTCGTCTTTATAGAGTTTTTATATATTTATAGAGAGCCTAGCTTCGAACACAAAATTTGATTGAAATGCTTTATTTGATTTTCAAAGGTCGGCAAAAACTATATATTCATTCAACGACTGGTGTTAATATCGTTATATTGTTGTGTAATCAAACATGTTCAAAATCATATAATTTGTATAGGAAAAACACTAGTCTGTATAGCGTACGTAGATCAATCAATCGTCTGTCGTGATAAATATCTAGTAACCAAAAATCAAAAAGAGGTAATTAAAAATCTCTCGATCAGAATTAATGTAATAGTTGAAAACAAATAAAAAAACTAATGGAACGAATAGAGACAAATCATGTGATAATTTGTTTTGATTTGGTAGAGATAGGCATAATAGTACTCGTACCAGCATATACGTTTTTCTCCCGCATTAAAAAATTGCAATGAAACTATTAAGTTATTATAAAATGTTTGAAAGCTCATTAGAAATTTATAATAGAATATCGTCGGTGGAGATGGACGACGAGCCAACGTTATTAATGCCAAGTTTCTTTTCTCTCTTCTTTTTATCATTAATTAACAAATGAATGTGAGATATATATCCAATTATGTTGTTGTTCTAAACCCCCAGTAAAAGACATAAACAGTAGCGTTGCCATAGAGATATGAAGAAGTGTGTTTTATTTTTGGGGTTATGCCTAAGATGAGATTATAGACCAAAGTTAGTATGGGCATTTGGTAGGAGTAGCTAGTGGAGATAAGAACAAGATTAGGGTAATTAATGAAGATTAGGTAGCAAAAGATTAACATGGTGGATCTTGGAGCCCACGACTTCTCCGTACAGGCAGCTCTCTCTCTCTCTTTTCTTCTTTCCACGTACATTTTCCACTCTTTCTCTCCTTTTTTCAAGCTTCATTTATTTTCATTTAAACTAACAATAAGATTAGTTTGTTAGAATTTTTGTATGGAAATATAATCAATATATCTAACTTAAACTATGTATTATTCAAATTTAATAATCAGTTGTTAGCTGATATTTAATTGGGTTTTAAGCATTTTCAGAATTACATTATTATTTCGTTATTATGTTGTTCCATCCCGATAATGTCTAGTTGTTCCGTACGTTTGTAGAAAATTCATCAAACTATATTTTGTTTTTTTGTATGATTTATATTTTTTTAATTTATAAATAAATTATATATTTTTGTATCTTTTCTACCTCAAAAAGATAAAAACTACATAGCTTAAATAAAAAGAATCTCACAATATTATTCTAATATCAACATCTCCAAGGAATCCATAAAAGTTAGCTTATAAAATTTTTATCATCATGGAATACAAGATACTTTTTTTATTCACTCATTAAAACTTAATTTCCACTACAAACAAACAAACAAACAATTTTTTTTTTTTACTTTTTAACTTTAAATTCCACTGCATAATCAAATAGTAAAATGATAATAGATATTAAAAAATGGTTGAAGAAAGTCAAGAAACATAATCCTTATATTTTTGAAAAATAATCAAAATCCCTTGATGATACAATTATTAACGGGAATAAAAATTTCAACGGCGAAAAGAAAATAAAAAGAAGGGACAACTTTATTGTACAGCATATTTGCTTTCTTTTGTACTGAGAACTTTTTTCACAGTTGTAAAATCATTTTAATATTTTCTTTTTATTTTATTTCCACACACACGAAAAAAAAAAAAAAGTTTTATAAATAATCACTCTCTATCTCCTCTTGTTTCCCCGTCCCCTGTTCTCACCAAACTCTCAAAGCTCTTCTCTTCTCTTCTCTCTCTAACACATGAGAGAACAAAATCATCAGCTAACAATCTCAGCCGTTGATTATATAGCCGCCACCGTAGCAGAAGATGGAGAACACTCAAGATTTCTCGCCGCCGCACATGGATGCTTCTCGGCCGTCACTAGGATTCCCTCTAGGCACAGCTCTGCTTCTTATCATCATCTTCAGCCTCTCCGGAATATTCTCTTGCTGTTACCATTGGGACAAACATCGTTCTCTCCGCCGCTCTTTAGCCAATGCCTCCACCCGTCCCTCCGCCTCCGACATCGAGTCTAATCCTTACAAACCTAAACCCCCTTTTCCGGTAACTCTCCTCTCCCTGTATTTTCCCAAATTCTTGAAAAAAAAAACATACTATATTTCTCATATAAACCATAGTTTGAAACGTGTAAGCAAAAATAATTATTGTTTTTAGTAATATTAGTTTTTCCGTTTCAAGTATTTGAATTGCTAAATGTAAAGTAAAAACTAAATAAGGTAACTTTATTTTCGAAATTGTTGTGATTTTAATTTATAAACATGTTTAGGATGAACGATTGATAAAACATTTTTACTCCTAAATTAATTTGAATGGTTTAAACTAAATAAAGATGGTTTCTGTGAACAGGAAATGAAGAAGCCACAGAATCTGAGCGTACCGGTACTAATGCCTGGAGACAATACACCCAAATTCATAGCATTGCCTTGTCCTTGCGCACCGCCTCGTCCGGATAAAGTCACCGTCGATGTTCAGACTCCACCGCAATCACCGCCTGTCAAGCCGCCGCGCCTTCCTGTTCCTTTGTATTAGATTTAATTAGCTCTAAGAAATATCTCGTTTTGATGTACATATGGAATCATAAATTTTACATTTTCATTTTTTTTTATCACAGATTATTTATTTTTGTACTCAGTTGGTAACAAAATGGAGTGGTCTTATTGTGCAACAAAAAAAACAAAACACAGAATGACATGTTTATTAACTAAAACAACAGATCATGGAATTTAAATGATTTATATATATATTTTGTCATCGGATTTTTTACATTGATAATTTTTTTTTCTTTCACAAAACTGCATGTTTTAGTAAATTAAAAAAAAAAAGATAAAATGAACAGTTATTTTGGGGAAGCTACAGTAAGTTTGTTTTTACGTATAAAACATACAACACCTATATATGATAGGAGTATTACCTATGTAAGCACAAAACACATGGCACATTTCGTCAGACGATATTTTCGATGTCGATGTCCTGATTCAATTCTGTTTTCCCTTGGCTACTAATGAATTTCATAAACGAAATTTAATACTGCTATTTATATTTCGACCTATTTTTTCTTTTATTACCACAACAAAAGATTGCTAGCAATTTAGGACATCTCGAGATCTGTTTGAATATTACCAGAAATAGCCGATGAAGATTGCATGATTCTTCACATTTCCTTTTATATTAATAATCCAAATTTTGTAAAGGTGTTTTATGCAACCACGTTTGATGCTTTCTAATTAATTAGAAGAAGAAAAAAACTTGCAAAACCAAAGTTTCAGTCTTGTGCGTTACAACAAAGAAGTCTCCGTAAGTTAATCATTACAAAATACTTAAAACACACATTTTTCTCAAATATATTATGATATCAAATTATTACTGATTTTCACGGACAAGAAACGTAATACTAATTGTTTCTTCTCCACCAATAGATATATTAAACTCTTCCATGGGTTAAAATCTATTTTATATGGAAACTTTTTTCGAAGTTCGTTTCCCGTTTCTGAAACGTTTTAGAAATAGAAACTCTCGAAAACTCGGAAACTACCTATGGAAACACGATTCCTAAAAATTTCCATTTGGAAACTTGATGGAAACTCTCGTTTCCGTTTTGGAAACTTTCGTTTCCGTTTTTAGATTAAAAAAAATATAAAATATATGATATATATTGTGATTAAAAAAAATGTATCTATCTCTATTCTCTAATAAAAAAAAGATGTATAATTTCTATAAATATAAATTATGGTCCTAATCATATGTGGAATGTTAGAGGTGATCAACTTGATTCACTAAATGAGTTTAATGTTGGGAGACTTGAGTCTGAAAATCTTCCTCTAGACGAACCTGATTTAGAGGCTGTTTTATTTGATAAAAATGATAACGGCGATGCTGGTCCAATCATTTGAATTTGAGCGTTTTAGTATTATATTTTAGAGTTTTGTTTAACTATTTAGTATTTATGTTTTCAAAAATTCTTTTTTTTTTTAATATGGATTTTATATTTAGAATTTTAGTATATATATATATATAATTATATATATATATATAATTATATATACATACGTTTCCAAAACGTTTCCATTCCTTAATTTTCAAAAATTGTCGTTTCCCGTTTCCGAAACGTTTCGTTTCCGCGTATGCGTTTTCGTTTCCATGCAACCTAGGTTAAAATTAAACTACCTCAAACATATATCTTACAATTCTTACAAAACGAGACATGTTTTTTTTGTTTGTGTTAAACATGGAATTACTGAAATTGACGTCTAACCCCCAAAAGTTAATTTGATTATTATTATTATTAGGATGATATAGAATACGAATTAGCCGTATAATAGCACTCCGTTAATTACGATGCCGATTCCCGTTAATTGCCAAATAAAAATCCGACACTGTTTTGATAAAGTTAGGGACCCTCGAAATATATAAAAAAATTAGAAAACTTTATATTTTATATTTTAGTATAAAGTTTATTTACAAATAAGAAAAAATTGACGTCAGTGACAAGTTTCTTCTCATAACCAAAGTGCTCTCGAAAACACATCCCATCCCCACCACCACTTGGACCCCTCCAACATTAACAATCAACTTCATGACCTAATTTCACTGTTTTTTCTTATTTTATTCTTATGTTTTTCGTGATTTGATGATTTTTATTTCAGTCCCGTTAAATCCATTGGTTGATCCTAATATTCTAATCCAAAAATTATCCCACGAATCTGATCGATTGAGATTTATCTTTTGCTCAAGTCCACTAATTATCAATTATGCAACCAAATAGGAAAATATTATAGCAAATAGGTTTAATAAACTAAGTAGAATTTTCGAATCCAAATCTCTTTCTGTAAGCATATCGTATTTCGAATTTCAAAACGCGTCTGAACAGTGTCAAAACAATGTCAGAAGATAAATGAACTATTTTTATATTCAATCCAAGAAGTAATTAGTTAAGAGTTTTTTTTCTAAAAACAAAAAGAATACTTTGTCATTAAGGAAAAAAAATGCAAAAATATATATAAAGATCAGTGGTTGTTTCAAAGTGCGTCCTACACTGCAAAGTACAAATTGACTGTACTGATTCCTTTGATGACGTTATCTGATATATCTATGCTTCGTGTTTCTTCTACGACCATATTTTGTGGGTATTATTATTTTGCTGCATGTTTTATAACTAAAGTAGCTCAGACTAGTTTTACTTACGTTTGTGACGCTACAAGAAATTTAAGTAGTAGTAGGAACTGAACAGTTAAACACACAACAACAGTAACATGTAGGAAGCTGAGCACAAAAAATTCAGTCTACACAAAAATGCATGTGTGATGATTTTTTAACGTTCCGGAAACTTCAACGCGAAGAACTTTATAAAAATAAAATATATACACAATATTATATTCCCATTAAATATTGTCATATTAATATTATTTGTGAAAATTTATTATTTGAAAAAACATTTTTAAAATACTGTAGTCATATGAAAGCATGTGAGGGCACCGCAATCACCGCTGAAACCTAGGGATCATGCCATTTTATCTTTTTATTTGTTTTTTGTATTTTAGCTGAGAAATTATATAAATATGCGAATACCGACTTGATATTATAAAAAACGAATCATGAGATAACATAAAGAAAATATATAACCAGATTATAAATTGTTAGATATGAGCTTTCTTGTATAACCACTTTATAATTTCAGAAGTTATTTTGTCTGCATAATGCGAATATCGTTTCTAAGACACTGTGGAAATAAGAACATTTCCAAAAATAAGCTGAATTTGTTTCTTGTCATTTTACAAAAAAAAAATATATATATATCTTAAAACACATTCATTTTTATATTAAAATGGTTTTAAATTGGTTTTATATAGTAATTAACTGTTAATAAATTTCCGTCAAAGTTGGTACGCAATACGTGGTACATTCCTCGAAAGAACTCAACACAAAGTATATATGAATAGTCAACTAAAAATCTAAGAAATGTATAATAAGGAAGAAAGAAAAAAAGAACTTGGAAAGAAAAAATGATGAAAAGTAGAGTATAATGTAAAACGTACGGATGATAAGCAAGACAAGAGCGGGCCTGAGATTGAAGAAGGTCACATGGGGGAACATCTCGTAGTGCCCTTCTCTTATCCTGACGTCACCTTTTCTTATTTTATTTATTTTTCCTTCTAATCATTAATTCTTTTCTTTTTTATGCATTTATATATTTGTTTATATTCTCTTCCAATCAATAATAATACTATTATAGCTACGATGAAAATAAAAGATATCGAATACACAAAACAAAAATAATTAGTTTATTTCATAAAACGGTTGTAGTGGAAGTCCATATAGAATGTTAGGTATATGTAGAAGAAAAAAAAAACTATGGATTAATACCAAATCATGCTTTTTGCTTTGCGGTTAAAACCACAAATTTGCTTGTTAGAATCATTTGGGATTGGCCACATAATTCAAAAGCATTTTTAAATCTTAAATAATTCAAGGTAATCTAGTTTGTGGACAGTAATCTCTTGGTGGTTATTATAATCCATCATAAGTAGGCGTGAAGTGACACTAATTGGATCCTGATCCATGTGTTATTATTGATAGATTCATCCCTCTTGATGAAATGCTTTGCAAAACAATTTATAAGAAAACAAAACCATATAGTTAAGAAAACTAAACTTGACCATCATCCATCAACCATCATCTATCAACCATCCATACCTGTCCCATAATATTCTCCTTTTTCGGACCTTTTGTTCTGTAATATCTGTCAGGTATGATTAAGAAAGGGCTGCTACACAACTTGTGTGTGTGTGTGTGTTTGGGGCTAGATCAGAATTCGAAAAGGATTCATCATTATTAGTATCCAAAATGTAGATAATGCTAAAACTTGGATATGGACAATTGTTAGGTCATACACACGTGTATATCTCTATACATGTAATGCTTTTGCAACTTGCATACTGAGATTCCAGGTTATGATAATTGCTTTTTTTTTAAGCTAGTTATTTTGTTTAATCCGTTCTTGATATTGTTTAACCATTTATAGAAAAGTTTGATTTATGTTTCTTTGCTCAATGTTTGCCAATCATTGTGATTATTAATAATAATAATGTGTCTATAGCTATCTAAACTTAAGTGAGAAACCTGACGTTTCATCAAACTTGAGTGAAATGAATCTTCGGGCATTTTGTTTGTTGTCTACGGACTATAGTATAAGTCTCGTTTTCTTCATGATATTTTTATTTTTTTTTTGCTGTGGCAAGTTGTTTCATAGTGCGCAAGTGGAGTTGTTTCTTTCTAATTATATAATTAATATATTTTGTTTCATACTTTCCTCTATTAGAAATTTGGAAGTCTTGCTTCATTCTTTATGTGATGATGGTTCCTTAGTCCAGTAATTATATTTTCCATTTGTATAAATGAAACAATTCAATGAAATGTTCTATTCTTTTAGACACAATGAGTTTTTTGATATATTTTTTTCTTCGATTAAGCTCTTATCCCATCAAGTAATTTTGCACAAAAATTTAAAAACTTACTTCAGTGTTCTGTTCTTTTTATTTAATATGATAATTATTTTAATTATTTGATATACCAAGTTATTTAACCATTTCTCTATCAATCGTAGACGGCCTACTAAATAAAGCCCATTTGAGCTAAATACTTCAGTTTCGGTTCTTTAACAGCCCAATTATCCGTAGTCCGGTGGATCAAGCCTAACGACATTAAATCTGCGTTGACTATTATTCTGAATTGGTTGTTTTGTAAAAATATATAATGGGCCTGAACAATGTATATTGCTTAAGCCTATGTCAGGCCTCTCCGTATAATAAGTTCTTACCAATTAATGCGTTTTATTATCGCTAAGATTAATTTGTTGACGTACTAGTGTACTACTGACACTGTGACACAGTGTCATGTAATGATGAATGCGTTGATTGGTGGAGGCACAGTCATTAGCATTATAATTACTCTTATGATTAGCCTTTAAAACTTTATATGACGATTTAAATACGCTTTTACTGGATGCATCTTTCGAACTAAGATACATCGGTCACTGTCAGCTACAAACCCTAATCTTCTGTTATCAATCGAGTGTCCTTAATTTTTAGTTAGATACATCAGACCCTCCAATAATAATTCTCCATGAAAAAAAAAAACATCTCTTTTTAATTTCCTTTTTTTTTTCTTTATACAAACTCATAATGTTTTCCCCTAGAAGAAAAAAAAAAATCAAACTGAAGTACAAGGGAATTTAAACACAACATCGTCTAAAGTTTAAAACCACTATTATTATTAAAAATAAACAATCATATTGGTTTATTAATTTCTCAATCATGACAACTCCTTACAAGCAACTTCCTCCGTAACCTGCGTTTCTGAATAATGCTTGCTTTATATCTTCCGAGGTTATGAAATCTCTCTGCTCAGCTCCCTACATATATAGCACATACACAACCGAACTCATCAATCTAAGTATCTTACCATTACAAAATATATACTTTAAAGATACCATATTATATTTTATATATGATTAAGTACCTCAGAACAAGAAGCCTGCAAAGAGAAATCACTGAAGCAACTTATAACACATTGTTCGATCTCCAAGCCTAGAGTCTCTAATGTATTAACAGTTGATAGAAGCAATCCCGGTTTGGGCGAGCAACATATATCAACTCGAGTATCATCATCTCTCCTATCTATTTCAAACTACAATCCACAAACATAAAGAAAATCAGCACCAACATATATTAGTGATTTTAACCCCCAAAAAAAAAAACAATTTTGCAACAATTCATGAATAAAGGGGCTTATATGTAAAACATACCAAAAAAAACAAGAGCGGTATAGTATCAATATGAAAAATATATATATGTACCTTTGGTGAGTTTCTGACCATAGGTTCGTTTGTATTAAGATCCTTGAGATCGCCGAAGAGCTTAGAGTGGTGTGAGTTGTTGCTATTACCAAGTTCTTGTTCCTCATCTTGTAGTTTGTTGATTTTGTCTAAAAGCTCCTTCATGTAATCTATGGCATCTCCTAATATCGATGTCCTGTCCATCTGATTTTTTGAACATATTAAATATTCATTATTTTAGAAACTTTTTAAAATTATTTATTCACTTTTCAACCGGTTCTGTAGATTCCCTTAAAAGTAAGAACACAATAATTAAACAATCTTGAGAAAAAAAAAAGAAAAAAAAAAAAGAGTTCAAACAAGAAGAAACAAACACATAATGTTAAAAAGATTAAAATACAAAAGGCTGATTTTGAAACCAATTTATAATTAATTCATTCTTCAGAAAAGGACGAATCATTGTTGATTTTTTCGAATCAAAGGTTTAATAAATCTTTCACAGAACACAAAAAAATCGTAGCTAGGTTTAATTAAGAAGAAGATTTAGAAAAGGTTATTATCTTTATGAACCCATGTAATAATATATATATATAATACATTAAAAAAGGATCAATGCTTCGTTGATATTGACCATTCTGATTATTTTAAAAAGATTTAAGGGTAATTAATAATATATTTACCTTACTGATTTTAGGGACGATGGATCGGAGCATAGAAAGACGATCGTTAAGTCGTTTTCTCCGCCGTCTCTCGGCCATGAGATTCTTAGAAGGTTGGCCTTCGAGCTTCTTACTCTTCTTCTTGTTCGTCTCTCCTCCACAGTAACCAACACTGAAGCTCTTGCTCTGATCAGACTCCATCAATGGCGACGGATACGACGTGGGATTGTTAAAGTTCTCTTCTTGACCATTCTGAAGGATCAATGGAGGGGAAGAGGAGGAGGAGTCAATTATCTCTTGCAACGCCTCAAGAAAAGGGTAGTCGAATGTTGCTGCTGCGGTGGCCGCAGAGGATGATAGCGGCGGCGACGGTGGTTGTAACAGCGGTGGTTGGTGGAGAAGCAATGGAGGGGGCTGAGAGATTAGATCCATGAAAGAAGAAGGGTAGAGAAGGGTATTTTCGTCTTCTTCTTCGTTGTTGAAACAGAGGTAATCAATACTATATCCGTTTGGGAAGAACTGATGATGATGATCAAATCCGCCATTAAAGCTCAGATTGTTCATGTTGTTGTCGGTGGTTTCTTGCTTTGTCGGAACAAGAAGCTCTTCAAACACATTCATCTGTCTCGACAGTTCCATATTATTTTTTGCTCTCTTGTCTGAAACTCTGGTTTCTGGTAATAATAATAATAAAAAGGAAGAGAAAACAGAGTGTATGAGTTTTGTGGATTAAAGAAGATGAAGTGTAAGTGTATTTATATATAAATCTAGAGATGTGTTTGTGTGTGTGTGTGAGAGAGAAAGTGTATACGGAGTATTAATTAAAACAACGATTCCCATTTTAGTTTGTGACTAATTGTTTGTTTATTAACTCAATGTACGTAATTATTATTTTGATAAAACTTAAATAAATATTTATGGAGATGTATGGTTTTTATTTAAGTTCCCTTTGTTTTGTTAAACACATATTATTGTTTTTCTCGTGACAAACAATAAAAACATTTTTGTTTGCACTAGCACTCTAGCTAGGAATAGATGAGCTATATATTACAAGACTTGACATGGATCGATGTAGTTTTTATTTTGGTAAGTTTAGCTTATGAAAAAGAAAAGGTACTGCTAATCGAGTTTCACTCAAAATCATAGTATAAGACACAAAAGTTTTATTCTTTTTTGTTCTTTATTGAATTGCGAAAACCATAATTGAATTATTTTTATGGGAAAACTTTATGGTTGATTGGGTATTACTGCAGTAAAACTTTTAGAAATTTCTGCAATTCGTGTGTCATAATAGTTTTAGGTGTTGCGGATTCTAATATACTTATCAATCTATATGTGTGCATTGTATGTAGACAGATTCGTCTACTGAAATAAATATTTAGATATTAGTCTAAATGACGATCTATGTGTTTACTCTACTAATTTTAAACCAATAAGTTGAAATTCCTGGCTGCTATATATAAAACAGATTTCCATTTATTATATAGAAATCATGGTTTAAACCGTGAGTTACTGCTTTTGAATTTTTAATAAATGTATGTGTTATGTATAAAAAATGGTTTAAATTGTGGTGATTACACTCCAAAGTCCAAACCATTACACAGGCATATTTATAAACTTAAATCTTAACTATGATATGGTGGCGACAGTAACTCACATCACTAAACTACGAACCGCAATTATCTTTGCTACGATAAAATGGTAGCATGCTTTTATGTAGGTTTTAAAATGCTCCCAATTTTTTTTTTTTAATCAATGTTTTTGAATATATTTATGATTGATTAGGGTGATGTAAATGAACTGTTTTCAATATAAAGGCCGACTCGAATTGTTGGAAAAAATGGGAAACTGAACCCAAAATTTCAGGTCTTTATTATATCAATGAAAGAAAATGTAATTTTATCAAATTGTTTTGAGTTATCTGATTGACAAACAAACAAAAAGAGAGTAATATAATACATTGATTAATTCCTTTTCCTTAGAGGAAAGCTTTGATCCCACAACTTTCATGTCTCGACGAAAATGGATGAACATTTGTCTACCCCTCTTTTTTTTTCTTTTTTTTTTTGTCTGCCATATTTTTTTTATTATAATATGTATTTTGAAATATTATTACTATTGTTGATAGAGGGAATTACTCGTATCCGGCCACACAAACGTACGTTGTGTATACGCATATACTAAATTGCGTATAGATCTTGCCTTAATATTGTTAATAACCAGCAATTCAGCATCAATTATTTTTATTTAATTGCAATTTGACCCTTAAATCAAGGTAATGTTTGTGAATAGTAGTATAGTTAGTAATCTCAAATTTTCCAAAGCGTAGGCCTAAGAAATAATTGCCCCTTTGTGTTCACATTTTGTCTTGCGTATGATATGACGTTTATTCTTTTGATTAACGCCTTTAGCATAGTCAGATTTTAATAATTGAATGAGCTACTCGCGGTAATTATGTTATGAAATATTGATGAACTAATGACCGAAAAAATGGGAGCTTTTAGAAATTCTAAAGATATATGTTCTCATCGTACGTACTGTATAATTTGTTTGCCACCAAGAGAGACCATTAAGGGGTGTAAATTAATAAATCCGAAAGTAAAGAGGTGATATTTGATACTACATTTACATAAGCAAATCTAGCTTATGTGAATATATATTTATATACGAAATAAATCTGTGGAGAAAATCATGCATATGCCTAGAATGTAGCTTTTTCATTTTTTTATGAAAAATATTTTGTGTTTGCATGTGAACTTCTTGCTCTATCTTCAGTGCCATTCTTCATATATAAAAACCGTAAAAAAACAAAAACGTAAAGAAAGTAAATAACAAATACGAATTATAAAAAGAAAGGGAGCACATGGTAAAGAGAAGCTCCATGTTCACGAAAACAAACAAACTGTCTTAGGTCTCTCTCTCGTCCTTTCAGTTCACTCACTTTCAATCTATATAATACATTCACATTTCATATATATATATGAACATGTGTGTGAGCTAGTGTATAAAATACATATATGGATTGTATATGGTTTTGAAAATAAGAAAAAAAACAATATATAAGTTCTTTAATTTAATGATGAACAAAAAACAAAAGCAGAAATAACAATGAATATGAATCTTTATTACAAATATGTAATTTTAATATATGCATTATTGAGATATCGTATACTTAATTAGCTTATCCACGTACAAATTACTATATCTGTATATCAAAATAGTAAAAGACACAATATAAAGGTCCTACAATGTGTGGCATGGATAACATAAAACACTATTAAACCAAGTTATGGTGGACTCATGAGGGAGAGATTATGTTATCCAAATTCTTGAACCACAAATTTTTGATCAAGTTATTCTAATGTTATCCAAATATTGCGTCACACATATATGTGGGAGATTACTTATATTTATAGAATTTCTTTAAAATTTAATTAAAATTAAAGAGTCAAATTCACTAAAGAATCATATATGGATGGATTTTGCGGCAAGAGATTTATAAAACACATCTTATACTAAAGTAACTAAAAGCAATTGTGCTGCATACATGTAACGTTTACAATTTACAAATAAATGTTTATTTGGTAGGCAAACAACTAGCAAGATTTTTTTTTATATAAACTAAATTTAACAGTAAAAACAATAAATCCATCGTAAGAAATACATATATATCGTACCCAAAAACGTAGATAAAACCCACCACGAGTCTCTATAGGCATGCATCCACAAATATGTGTGTGTATGAGAAAAAAGAAGAAGAAGGAGGAGGAGGAGGAGGAGACGGACAAGTCTGTGGTTAATGGATCGAGGCTTGTTTGCATGCAGAAGCTATGATATGCGTGAGGGTTTGTGGGGTTACATAGAGAGATTCAGTGAACTGTATCGTGTGACCCTCTCCTCATTAATGATCTCTCCATTACCTCTTCCTCTTCTTCTTCTTCATCATCTCGCCTTCGTCTTCACATGACGTGACTAACCAAAAAAGCTGCTCGTCAATTTTAATTATGACTTCGTCTTCTTCTGTATTAACTTCTCTTTGGATTCTAATCATAAGTCAAACCCCTCACTAGTCTGTAAGAAATTTCGATACACGATTTTTTTTTTTTTTTTTAATTTTATTAAATTGATATCTAATACTATATATAAAAACGAAAATATATTCTAACTTTTTATCTGTTTCAAAGTTCAAACTAATAACTAAAAAGGATAAAGTAAATGGTGTTGTGCCAGCTAATAACACAAGTGCTGGTGATCTGTTTAAACTTTTATACAGCTAAAATTCTAAAATATGGATTTCAGTTTTTTTTTAATTAAATTTCTTAATGTCATCTAAGTACGTATAGAGTTGGTTTAGTAGTTAAGTAATTGAAAATTTTACCACTAAACTTAAGATGGTAAAATATTTTTCTTACCGCGCTGCATGAGATTTTACATTATACCCCATATATATATTACCTATATGATTAAAAAATACTAAACATTTTATCCAAAATAAAATTTAAATAAGAATAACCTAAGCCCAACAAGAAAAAAGGATTTAATAAATACATAAGTTACGCAAATTTGGAGAAGAGAATTAAAAAAGAATGTTAGTATTAAAAAAAAAATAAGGCATCAAGATTGACCTGATTCGGTTCTCAAGGTGGAGTATGTATGACAAAGAGAAGGGGCCAAGACCACGTGAATTTTTAATAATTTTATTTTTCTCCCAAATACACAAACTTACGTGTCCTTTCTACAAACGTCCACGTGTCCATGTTACCAATGCCAGGCGACCACGCATCTTTTCCGTATGCGCCAAAACTTCAAAATATATCCTATTTTATTATAATTAGATTTTGCAACGAACCACCCTAAAGCTTGATGGGGATTATATAAAATTTTAAAACTTGGTTACTGACATATTTTTATGAACTACAGTTCTATTTTATTGCATATATATGGTGTGTCATTTAGGGAATGCATGAGAGAATAAGCTTAAATCGGGGGATGCGATGTAGATTCAGAAAATTATGCAAAGATGCAGAATATGTTTTTCTTTTCTTTGGTTCTTGAACAAAAAATAGTGTATTTTAATCTATAGGGAACAGTTCTTTTGACTTCCACAAGAAAAAAGCATATTAGTATTATTTTCTGATTAAAGACAATTCCTCGTAATCATTTTTCTAAAAACCCTACTAGGTCTATTTAATAGTGTACCATCTACTTTAGGTTTGACGAACTATTATTATCGTATTTCTTTTTTTCATGAAATTTTTTTAATATTTTTAAATGCACCCGAAAGGACGACAAAAAAAAAAAAATGCACCCGAAAGAATTTCGAGACGATTTTAGGTATTTTCCTTGATTATATTCTAAAATAAATTGTTTAGTTAAGAGGAGGAAAAAGAAAGACAACGAGCACTTTACTTAGCAGCTATTTTACGTATTGTTTAGCTACGCAAAATGTCTAATTATCTGTCCTAATTGGGAATCTGTAGCTATATTATATATATAGTTTGATTGAGTTGAGTCTCCAATTTATTCGTTCAAAACTAAATAAAAATATTTTAGTTTTTTTCGTACGTAACGAGATTTTGTTTGCATTGCATGAAATCGGTGGACAGCCCATAGTTTATACATATTCCTCTCATCGAAACCGCTTTTCACTTTTCTTCTGTCCACTCTTTAGAAAAAAATATATGATAATTTGCCTATTATTATTATAACATATGATTGACACATATTTCTTCGTTTTGGGGACCGTTTGTGGACGCCTAAGTTAATTTTTATGTTTTTAAAAATCATACAATGGAACTACTTGTTGAGATTTAGCCGT